ATATCGTTTTATTGCATTGCCTGACCCTCACTCACTGGCGCAGTTTACCTGGCATACGCATCAAGGAAACAAAAGGTGTTTGAGGACCCCCAGGTTAGTTCTCTTAAGTTTAGCTTAGCTTTGGTTTGCATAGGTAGATGACTGGGGACAGTCATGATTTAAAGTTCCCATGAGATGTAGGGATTCATTTCTGGTTGGGCTTGTAGAGACTGTTTTTACCTTACCTTATGTTGGCACTTTTGTAGCTTACATAATCAATCAATCTTTTCACCAGTTACCAGTATGAGTCTGAGTGCTGAGCAAGTTTCTATGATATTTCCTCTCCTCTGAGCCTTAAGCCTAGTCCAGAAACCCTTTAGGGTCGAATAGCAGCTAGGTTCTGCAAGACCCAACATTGTTCAGACTCACCATCTGAATTGTTGTACCTTCACCGGGCTAGTATATTATGAGAATGCTTATCACCATGACTAACTATACAGGAACGATATATAAGATAGCTAACCATCCTACGGCTCATTTGTTCTACACCCTTTCGTCTCTCCTGTTATCTGACTCGGATTTCGCAGCATGTCTGCATCAGGGCATGACTCAGGAAGCCCTCCTTCGGGGATGATATCCCTGTGTGTCCCAACCTCTCCTCAGGCTCGGGTGAAGAGAAGAATAGCCACCTTGATGGAAGAGGTCGAACTCTTGAAGCAGGACAAAGCAACCAAGCAGAGGTGCGTCAGACTTGCTCAGACTTTTAAAGACGCAGTCTTAACTTAATTTCTTATCAAGGAAAACAACGTATTATGTTTCACAGGGTCGAGCAATCCGTCGTTTGGTCGCCTTGTACACTCCTATAGAGGATTTAATTGCTGAAAACGACCGACGGTGTGAATATGAAGATACTTCCGGCGTTTCCACTGTAGAGTAAGTACTAGTATTCATCTTGCTTTATCATGACCATATCCTGACATGCACCGGCGTGACAGGCAAGACCGCCTACAACGTAGTTATGTCGAACTTGTCAAGGCGTTGCCGTGGATTCACGACAAGATAGCAAGTCTTGACGACGAGGAGTCTGAAGACATGCTTAAAAAGGTCTGTTCATGAACTTCTTATGTCACTTTTTCCTCATTAGTACGATTCAAATGTAGCTCAAGTGAGGTGCGGACTCGGCTCGTGGCGATGACACGGGTACCCTTAAAGAGCTCGTAGCATCATGGGTAAACATCGAGTTTCGTCCAACTCCTCTCATCTCGACCAACGACAAGCATCATCGAGGGTTTGTAAACGACACATGTGGTAAGCTGCTCTGTCCAGCGGAATGGTGCTGGGATGATCCTGCGTAAGTGATATTCCGTATTCTTTACTGTCTTCATTTATATGTCGCTGATACTATGCGGTCCAGTGTCAAGGCCGGCATTCGAGACCGTACGACCGCTTTCATCGTCTCCGAAAATTCATGGCCCCTATTTATGTATCAAAACTGTGCAGCTGACGCCGGCAATCTAGAGCACGGTCTCATGAAATCTAAGCTATTAGTGATGGTGAGCTGATTTTTCTCATTGGTTCGTGTCTCATAATCACATCGCAGGGGTTGAAGGCCCTCTTTACCTCTCCCTCATCTGCCAGCGAGATGGATGGTGAAGGTCAAGGCACCGATATAATCGAGAACAATCGACGTGCACGGAGACAAGATCAAGCCAAGGTAAAGACATGTGTTGCATCTATTATCGGTATGAGGAAGGTTACTCCTCGGGCGATTGCATATACAGCTTGTCAAGTAAGCATCGCCCTATAACCATGATGTAGATGACGAGTTTTGCAGATCCGATTCGCTCTCTCTAGTATCACTTCATGGCGCAACGTAGACGGAGATTTCGATTACGAGATATTCTGGACCAATATCGTAGATTTCTTCGAGGATGCTCCGGGTCCAGCTGCGCGAGCCAGGGTCAATGAACTTCTTGAGTGGTGGACCAGGTAAGCATGGACTGTCAATGAGTAGCATTGATCGCTAATTCCTGTACAGAAAAGTTTTTGGAAGAAATCACAGACAAGACTTGACGTCGGACGTAATTTCCCGGATGTCCGTCCGTACACTTGCTGCTCAGAGACTAGCGATGGAAGATGCTGCATTGGATTCTGACTCTTGACGTTCATCGCCGTATCTTAGTGCCTATTGTTACTCAGTAATATACTCTCTGAAACTAATGTGATTGTGGTCTCCCATATCTGCCAGTGACACCCCGTGAATGAATCATTGTGTGACAACCCTTAATCTTTCTGTCAGATACATCTATCAATCGACGTACCGCGTATACAACAAATATATATATATATCGATAATCTGAGTAATTATACTCCTGTAGACAATAAGAAGAATATGCCGATTTTGTGATGAACAGATGTGGTGATACTCCTGCTTACAACGAGAAAAATATGCTGATTTTCCGATAGACAGGCGTTGTTACACTCGTGTATCCACCAAGATGAAATTGCCGATATTCTGATGGACTAATGTAGTTATACTCCCGCGTACGGCAAGAAAAATATGCTCATTTTCTGAAATATAAAATTGGACGGTGTGACTTGTCAATGAGTTGCATCTGTTGTTGTATAAGAAAATACTCTTTGTCTATGATAACACACAAGAATGTGCGAGATTGGCAAACTTAGAAACTCGAGGTCAGAAGGGGTGATATCTGATGGACGGGTGTTGTTATACTCCTGTATGCACCCAGATAAAATTACCGATTTTTTCATGGACAGATGTAGTTGGTACTCCTGCATACAACGAGAAAAATATACTATTTTTCTGAAATAAGGAATTGAACGATGTGACTTATAAGCAAGTTGCTTCTGTTGTTGTAAGAGAAAAAACTCTGCATATGTGATAACGCGCGAGCATCGGCGAACTTAGAAACTCGACGTCAAAAGGGGCGGAGTTGTAAAGATGCCAAAGATGACATGATATTACAATGTAGCACTGCCCATGTGTGGTGGCAGTGCTGCGCCAAAATTCTGAACATTTTGAGACGTCGTCGCTATTGCTAAATCTTTGAACTTGCTCGACATTCTAGAGGTTTGATTTTACACAAGGTGATGATCTGATGTTATTTGTCTTTGGAAAAGCTGATCAGAACGTACCGACTCGCTCATTCAAGGTATTTCGAGAACCAAGTGCCTTGATGTGAGTCGCTGGAGGCTTTGCTGGTAGAAGAACTCTCCCTCAGTGTTTGGAGCCTCTCACCAATTTGTGAACTATAACGTATATGCTAACATCTACCTTGTATTGAGAATAGGGCAGTCTTTTTGTTGCTATATAAATCAAGTATTTGCGGCACTGTGTCGCGTTGTGTCTGACTGCGTAACAAGGTAACAAATTATGTGTGATATATCTTGCATTTCATTTAGGTAGTATACTTCGTGTTCATTCACACAAGGTGACATTTTCAAAAAGTTGCAAACGCCTGAAAATCTATCTCTTCTTCAGTATGTCTCCCATTGGCTGAGAAGTATTTTGATATGCTAATGCCTGTCGCAGTTGCTTCATCCGCCAAGTGCAGCTCTTGTGATTTGGTTTGCCAACCGCTTTTTGAATGAAGGATTTTGGACGCTAGCACTTTGTAGCTGCTGCTTGAGCGGCATGGCAAAATCTCATTTAATACAACAATTTCCAATATCAACTCACAGAGCTCCACCTGCGCCGTGAATGCGAGAACTAGACAACACAAACCAGATGATCAAGACTTTCAACTGTCATATTTTAACCGAATTTTTTCATGCAAGGCATGGTTCTATTGGTTTGAAGATTGCAAAAGGGTGCGGTATTCATGTAAGTAGCGACCTTTGTGCTCGTCTTGGCAATAATGGTTCCAAAATCCACTTCATGAATTGGCATCACATTTTTCATCCATAGACTAGTTCACGTCTTAAATCGTACATAGAGGCTAGGGCAACTTGGTTTATTTATTTTAAAATTCGTCTTTCCTTCATAATGCCAGACATTTCCAAGTAAACCCCCCCACCAGATTTACGGCGATTGTTGTGATTACTAGTAATATATACTTACATATGAAATTGTAATTTGTTCACCGATTCACTGATGTTCGTGAGGTGTTGAGAGGAAATTGCATGTGAGAAATGATATGTGACATTCGATGCGAAATATGTGGTAGAAAGCGATCATAATGCACTTCCCGCTACAGTGAGGGACATGAGATGCTGGCGCTACAATATTAATATTTCTAGAATCATCCTAAGATAGGCCTCAAGCAGTTTCTGCAAACATCACGTGATGTGACTTGCTGTGACTCTACTTGTGATTACTGCATTTGGTACCGGGACTCCAGAAGCATACTGGCAGCGCCGCAGCGGTGATACAGAACAAACTTGCAGGATTTACAGTATGTAATAAAATTAGTAGGTACATGTTAATATGAAGACTATGTTTAATTTAAGTGTGCACTCTCGAATTCTGACATTATTGCTGAAGGGAGTACACGATGGCCTCGGTATTGCTTTGCAGCCCAGGCAGCTTGTTTGCCATTAAGTCCTTTATAATAAGCATCCATGAAACGGTGTGATCTGATGGCAAACCTAATTTTCATTAGTGCCATCTAAGTACACATCAGAAAAAGCATGACACTTACTTTCGCATGCTGGTTAGAGGAACTGCATCCAGTGATTTTATGACATTATGTTTCAGATTAGCTTCCCCAGATGATAATGGGTAGCAGCGATATAGCCACTTTGCATACCCCCAGCATTGTTCAATAAAGCTGAGCTCACAATGAAATTTTGGAAGGAAGAGCACCTTGAAGCCCTTTAACCTGCACACCCTCTCCAAGTTTGACTCGACATTAACAAAATCTGGCTGGTTATAGAGAATTCGGCGACAACAACAAGAAGTGGAACCACGAGGACAGTTGAAATCCTTGCACTGAGCCTTCTTTTTGCTGACATCGAAACCACGCTCCTCTAGAATTTTGGCCATTCCCTTGAACAACCCATCATTGTGGCTGCGTGCTCATCGAAATCCTCAAAGCCTTCAACCGGTCCCACGTTACACTCTCGTGGTCTCGGCAATCCAAATCCAAGTTAGACTCACACTCTGATTCTGCCACATCACTATACTCCAAATCCATATCCACTGAGTCCTGCAATGCAAGTGAGGATTCTTCAGACAAATTTGCATTTACTTGAAGGTGGGTACTGTGCTCCGAGTCCATAGTAGCTGTGTGGTTGTGCTCTGAGTCCATAGCGGTAGTGTGGCTGCGCTCCGAGACCATAGCGGCAGTGTGGCTGCGCTCTGAGTCCATAGCGGCACCATTGTTCTTGAGTTGCACAAAAACCTGACCTGAGGCTGACAGAACAATCTCAACTGGGAGCTTAGACTTCGAAGGTGTAGAATTGAATGGAAAAGTGGTTTCACAGCCTGAAGCTACTACAGAACTCGAAGCTATGTCTACTGGATGACTCTGCACAGGCATGAGCATTGATTTCAAAAGTGAGTACAATTGAAAACTCACATTTTCTTTATCTACTGATATTTTCCGCTTTTTTGCCTGACTCCCTAGGTTCTCGATCGCAGACCGGACTTTTTGTGACCATTTTGGCATTTTGGCAGGTTTCAGTATCAGGCCGATGGTAGGTGAAGCGGAGTCCAGAGTGTTTGGGGGCTCTATGTACAATGTATGCCTTAAATCTTGCTTGTGTTGCCATCTCCTCCTTCAATTTCACACAAATGGTAATTCTGGAACGGATGATTTGTTGAAAAGTACGTATACTACAACTCTTCTGTTTCCGTTTTTTTATACCTTGTCGCCACGGACATCCTATACACATTCATTGCTTTTGTCACGTTTCATCACACTTTGTCACGTGATGTTTGTGGAAACTACTTGAGGCCTATCTTACATAAATTACATCGGTGAAATTCTCGGCTGTTCCCATAATTAGACTGCCTACCTTTTGCTTCCGAAAACTGCAGTGGCAGCCTGAGGTGTCACATCGGGGTGAACGATATTTAAAAGAGGTTTATATATTGTACAAAATGTGAAGACAATATTTAATATTTAAACTAACATAAAGATGGGTGCACAACTTCAAATTTTGGTGGTGTTTTGTGTGTAATCCAAAATATCAAATATTCACAACCATATTCCCACAGACAATATGTCAACAAACATAAGAAATATAGTCAGATTTTTCATGTCTGCTTCAACTTAAAGTTCAATTTCCATGTAAAACTTTGGAGAAAACTTGAAGTTTTACAGATGACATGACATTAAAACTCGATTTAAATGTCAAGCTTTGGCAAAACTTCAGGTTTTCTCCAAAGTTTTATGTAAGAATCAAACTTTAAATTGAAGCAGACATGGAAAATCTGATTATATTTATTATATTTGTTGACATATTGTTTGTGGGAATATGGTTGTGAATATTTGATATTTTGGATGACACACAAAACACCACCAAAATTTGAAGTCGTGCACCCATCTTTATGTCAGTTTAAATATTAAATACTGTCTTCACATTTTGTACAACATATAAACCTCTTTTAAATATCGTTCACCCCGATGTGTGTGGCCGGTACTCCCTAGACTCGTGACCAGTCTGACGTACGTCACATGAGAGTGGAGAATTTTTGACGTAGTCAGACTGGTCGATCTCAGAGAAATTTGGCAGGCGAAGCACGGAGTTTGAATTTTAGCAGGTGCCGGTTGTGCCGGATGTTGTCGTACATCCAGACATTGTACAGACACTACTGTTTTGCTACATCTCTATGTTATGACCATGAGTTTCGACATTGGTTCTGTATTGCCTATGTCCATATCAGCTTTGAATGCTCTCGAAAACCTTCCAGCAAACTTTACAAACACACTTTCAACGATACAGATCCAGCAAGTACTCGAAGCTTTTGCGCACCTTGATTTTGTCTCAAAAGGCACCAAAATTCCGAAGTTATTCCAACTCAAGGCTCTCATATCTTTGCTTGCAGGAAGAAATGTGGTTCTTCGAGCTGCAACAGGCTCCGGAAAGACACTCTGCATGATTTTACCATTGTTTCTCTCCCCCGACAAGATGGCTATCACAGTGACACCTTCATCAGGAAATCGACCCGAACTTGATATGACTGGATATAAATGGTAAAATGATATCAAAAATCCACTGAATTATATAAGATTATATACAAAGATAAAGCTTGATACAAGCACAACAAATAGCTATTGAATGGACAAGGGTTGCAAGAAAACTGACAATCTGATGTAGATATATCAAGTCTTACAATTGATTGCAAGAAAACCAACATTCTGATGTTTGAAATATCAAGTCTTACAATTCATTGACAGAAAATCAACATTGTGATGCAGATATGTCAAGTCTTACAATTGTATCAACAATTCTCTATCAATTGATCACCACTATCAACACTTGCAAGGTATTGCACTAGCCATGTCACATGACAAATGCTTATGTAGGTCTGAGTTTGAAAGATTTCACCAACTTCGACTCTATGCGCTTTTTGTAGCTTGGTGTCTTTGTTGTATTTGTACAAACTCATCCTACTTTCTAGGTTTTGATCTACGGACTTGGTATCCTCTTTCTAATGAAACTACAACGTGATGGGACTTCGTTGGATGCGTTTGTTAGTTTGCTTGTTTGTTTGTTTTGGGCGAAAGCCCCACAGGGGCTTTCCGGCCTGAAACATGGGTCCGTGCCTAAGGTGTGAGGTGAGCTGTGTTCCCATGTATTAGGAGAACTATGACGCACTCAGTGAAGCTTGGGGCCCTTTCAACTAGGAGAAGTGCTTCTTTTCACTGGACTGGGGGGATGGTGTATCGCGTGAAAGGTTCCAGTACTGGTGAGGCCTGAATGTAAGGTGCGAGAATCACAGCATGCTCTCTGAGATATAGTGTGAATGCTTCGCTAGACCACCTTCCCATCGTTTTCACGACTTCGAAAGGCACTCCATGCAGAAGGTACTCTAATGTTCCCCCAATCCTAAGTCTGTGTCCTTTTAGTTCTGGTAGGTTCACTGCCGCTGTTGCTGATGCTATTCTTTTCAACAGTTCCTTCTTCGATAAAGGACGCAGTCCTTTGGTGTGTTTCCACGCGAATAGGTGCGCATCACCGTTTGCTGGATTGATTCTCAAGTGATTTTCCAATGCAGCACTAGGGTCCGACGGCCCTTCTTGCATTGCCCAATATGCGTCCTCTCCTTCATTTGGAGAACATTTAGTGCTCGGTAGGTGGAATTTCATAACTGGCAGACCGTTGCGGTCTGCTGCTTTGGATACGCCGGATCTCGTTATATGTTTATTTGGATCGAATTCCTTGATTGCGTTTACTGTGAACTCCCCTAACCTTGCTATTGCATAAAAGGTCATTGTCAAGCACGCGAAAATGGCCGCATCTAGTGGTGAATTGAGGTCTAGGTGCTCATGAATGATGGATAAGTACACAGGTGTGAATGGTAGCTGTTTGGGACGTTTGGACAACTCCAGTGCTGCAGCCGCAGCTCCATCTAGCACCACTTTCAACTCATTGGGTGGGATCAACCAGCTCCTTCCATGAAGTAAGTGCCAGGCTTTTAGACCTGCCGCGTAGTTAGCTAACGACGATCCGGAGTAGGATCCTGCACAACTGCAGAGAAAATCTAGGAGGAGACTGCGAGCAACTGGACATCTGTGCTCTTCCACGATTCTGTTTGTGTCGCAGAACACATGGAACACCAGCAAACCCGCCCCATATGTTTCTTTCGTCGATTGCACCCACGACGACCCAATGACGTCAAGGATTCGTTCCAACTGTGCCTCCGAAATTTCATGTCTAGGAGACTGCGAGGTTACCGCTATCTCTTGTCTCGTACTATCTCCCGCTGGTAACCACAGTCTTAGTCGGTCTCGCGCAAGACAATGGGGGCGCAGGGTGGAAGGTTTGGGTGTCAAATTAAGTCTATAGTTCTGGGGAATGGGGGAGGGGGAAGTATCTGTTACATTTGGTAGCGGTGCTCTGAATCATGAGTTCTTATGTTTCAGTCATTGTTGAGCGCACTGCTGATGAAACCTTCTTCTTCAGAACGGCTTTCTCTTGCTCAGCTCGGCTGCTTGCAGTCTGCGCAGCTCGCGGTTGATAAGTTTAGCTGCTGGGGCGGAGTAATGGCCATCGCGCAGGAGGCGGAGTTCTGTGGCAGACAGTGGTTCTGTAGCGTCGATGAGGAAGGTACCAAGCTCTGTTGGAAGGCTGATTGGGGGAAGAAGAAGGCTTGTTGGTCCATATATTCCTCTGGATGGTTCATCTGCTGGGTTGGAAGCGCTTGGGATGTATGTAGTGACGACGTCGTAAGGGTAGGGTAGAGTGTGAATAAACTCGTTGATTCTACGAAAGACTTCGTTGACTTCTCAGTTTCTGTGTCTCCTCTTCCACCATCCTTCAACGACGCCTGTGTTATCTCCATGGACGATGATGTGCTTGCCAATGCCAGGCAGAGAGGTGAGAGTGTATATGAGGAGTTCAAAAGCCACTGCCTCCGCCCATCCGATGTCTCGTTGACCATTGTGCGTTTTCCACCCTGGGATTAACCTCCAGGCCCTCCAGTAGTTACCTATTACAATGCCTATTCCAATTCCTGAGCTCGCGTCTGAGAAAGCGAGAGGATTTTCGAGTTTGATAGATGGGTAAATTGCTCGTTTTACACTGCCAGGACTGAAGTAGCCTAGCCCACCATTCTAGATCCTTCTCTACCCTGCTTCCTGCTGGATGCGGAAGGAAAGGCTTAGCGCCGCAGTGGGAAAGTATCTCCTCGAGGCTTGTTAGGTATGCCCTGCCTCGTGGTACTGCTTGGCATGCGTGTAGTAACTTGCCATATAGCTCTCGTACGTCTTGTAAAACATGCGCTGGTCTCTTTCTCCATTCGTCGATTGCTGCCAGATATTTGCTGACTTTTGCCAGACTCAGTGAGACTATCCTTTGTCCGATATCCCAAAGGAATCCTATATAGATTGTTGTCGATGAGAACGGTTAATCTTTCAACAATTCCCATATAATGCCTAGGATACTTGACAACTCATCGATATCTTGCAAGCTAAATGCAAAAAGCTCGTCGTGTTTCAATCTCGGTGAGCGAAATGAAAGGTCTTGTAGAGGCTTTGAACAGTCCTCACTCAATTCCTCCAGTTTTCCTGTTTCCCAACACGTGTCGCTGAACCATAGCCTTGCGCCAGATTGTCTCATCCCTTCTTTCGCGAAGACTTGATTCCACTTCTTTCTCTTATCATTGTACGGCTGTAAGTACTCTCTTCTGATTCTAAAAAAGATATGATCGTCTACTCATTTTTCTAATGGGCCGATGCCATTGCTCCTAAAGATTTCGGCGCCCGCATCTGCTATGTGCCCGTATACTCCTGCCGAAGGGGTGGCTCCGAATGCAGTGCATGTGTCAATGCAGAAGTGGGAGTCTGATACTCTTACTATTCCTGCCAGCCATTGCGAGGGGCGCAGTGGGATTGTCCAGTATGCTTCCACCACATCTCTTGTGGCTGCCTCTGAACCTGGGGGAAGGCTTGCAATTATTAGATATATGTTCGAAAATTTGCCCCATGTCGTCGGAAAGTCGCTGGCATTAATGTAGGAGTTTATCGAGGGATTAGGATGTGAAACGTTTGGGGATGCTGGAAAGGAAAAGTTTTGTACTATCCTGAATTTGCCTGGCTTAGGGATTATGGACAGCGGCGACAATTGAAACGGTCCTATGAGACTTTCCAATGATTCAGCTCGAAAGGGTCCAATGTACCTTCCTTTGTCCAATTCTTTTCGGATGATACTTTCAAACTCGTTCTGGTACTCGGTAATTGAACTTTTATTTGGTGGAACCTGCATAACACTGACAGGAGAAAAATATATCTTGAAATGCCCAAGAAGTCCTGCTCTTCGAAGCTCCTGTTCCCATGTGTCAGCCTTGTATGGCGTCAGCAGTATCTGCCTTCTGTGCTCTAGGGCATCTTTGGGCGCCATGCATAGTGGCTCCACATCCTGAACAGGCATGGCGCGCATCGTGTTTTGGCATTGTGCATCCTTCTTCCCTCTGCCAAGTGGTACAGAGTTACTTCCCATCTTTAGCCCAAAGGCCTTTGTGGATGTGCTCTGCGCAGGTCTCAAACTTCTTGTCCCATGTTTGCTTGGCCGTACACTCGATGGTGCGGTGTGGGTGTCTTCCCAGACAGACTGCACAGCAAGGTAATGGGCCCGCATTGACAGTGGGACGGACTGTTTGTACCTTCTTGTTGCTGGACGAATAGTCCTCTGCAGGAGTATATGGGCGCTTCTGTGAAGCTGCGAGGTACTGCGGTTGAGCTGTTACAAAAGCTGCTGCCGCTTGCTGTAGTGACACATAGGGGGACAGTGTAGTTCCCAGTGTTTTGATTTGATTGAATTGGGCGCGTGATGGCCGTGAGGGAATAAAGCATATGATAGCCAAGGTAAGGTGGTATATGATAGCCAGGGTGTAAAGGAGGCACACGATGGCCGGGGTGAAAGCACATGATGGCCGGGGGGGTAAAGGCACACGATGGCCAGGGAGTAAAGGCACACGATGGCCAGGGGGTAGAGGCACACGATAGCCAGGGGGTAAAGGCACATGATGGCCAAGGTGTATGAAAAACGGCGCGCGATTGCCAGGGAGAGTACAGTTTCGTACAAGCCCATTTTTGTTGGCATGTGATTGGCCGACAGGAAAGACACATTGCACGACGACAACGAGTTGTAATTGTTAATATACGAGAAAGTTTTTTAAGAGACTTTTCGTTAGGAGTGGCTGCAGATCTGCGATGACATTTACTGACCTGAATAGCGATAGCCGTCTCCTTTTCTCTCTTCTCGTTGAACAGCTCTTCTCTTGCTTCAAAAATTAAATCTTGATTGAGGTCTTCGAGGCTCCATCCTTGTGCCGTTCCTATAGTCTGATGCCAACGTCATTGTTGCTGGGATTGATATAGTAGTAGCGCTCGTTGTTTGAGCTGATCTGGTGAATGGCGCCAACGATGTGTCTGTAGAGCAGACCAAAATTGTATATGCATGTCTGTCTGATCATCAGGCCAGTCGTACAATTGCATCATTGTGATCATGCGAGGGGTGGCTTCATTGAATTCTTCCCAAGACAGATTCTCGTCTTTCACAACCGGAGCCGCTTTCGGGTCCTTTACTGCCACTGCTGGGATCCAAGAGTGTAAACCGTCTGCTGCTGGTAGCATTACCATAGCTTCCAGTTCCGCTATTAAGTTGGACAGTTTCGCGTCTTCAAGACCACGGTTGGTGAAATAATGGAGCTCGCAGTAGTCTCCGGATTTCATCTTCCTTATAGCATATTGCGCTGGGAGAACAGTGGGGTTGGAAGGTACTTTTCCGTGCACTATGGGCGCGTACTTAGTTTTATTCTTCTTCCGTTCCTCTAGATGTGCAGCCTCTTCTTCCTCCTTGCATTGTTGCTGATGTTCTTCCTCTTTGTCCTCTTCTCTTTGCCTGGCCTCTATCATGTGCTGTTGTCTGAGTGCCCAACAGTCTTTCTCGGCATTGTTAGCTAAGGTCCATAATGCTGCTAAGGCCCGAGCTGCATTTTCATTCGAGAGGCCTTCTTCTACTAATTGACGCCACGAAGCTTCGTGTTCTTGTGATGTGAAGTCTGGCCTTACTGCCAGAATAGGATCTTCCATTAGTAGTATGGTACTTCATGGGTCTTGTATGCAAAAGATGAAGCTAGAGTAGTGAGCTTTTGATGAAAAGTGGCTCAGCTGCGAGGTGGGCAGAACCAAGAGGTGCTGTGCCACCTCGCTTATTTCATGCTTAGACTTAATTCTAGGCCTGCCTCGGCCAGCCTAGCCCGCCAACTTGTCTTCTCTTGTTTCACTACACTCACTTCTGGCTCTTCAAGCCAACATCCAAAGTTCCCTCCTTTTTTATCCTCTCATGGTGGTACCTCTGGCCTTCTATGGTGGTTCATCCTCCTCCCTGGTCCTCCCTGGCTCCTCTCTGGTTCCTCCTTGGCCCTGGCCCCTCCTGGTCCCTCCATGGTCCTCCCTGGTCCCTCCTGGTCCTTCCTGGTCCCTTCCTGGTCCTCCCTGGTCCTCCTTGGCCTTTCCTTGTGGTATCACTCTTTTTCCTTGGGTCAGGTAACTGATATCTCCCTCTTTTGTTGTTGTATCATCTCTCTCTACTCTCCTGTATTAGTATTACATGTATATACCCTAATACCAATCAAAATTTGATTTTATTTATAAAATGATAAAATGAATATAAAGATTGAAACTTTTTAATAATTTCTTGTCAATTTTATTTGAAGTTGTCTGGCATTATAATACTTTGTCAAGGATGGCAGATATTTGCAATATGTATCATAATTTTGTCTTTGGTGGTTTTCCCCAGTATAGTCTAACCATTTAAAGCTTTGTAAAGCTGAGTGCAATTATGATGGATATTATATCAATTTTATGCTAGACAAAGCTTTATAATGCTATGTTATTCTCAGGTCAATTGCCTGATGTTTAAAATTGCTTCAAAAAGATCATGTACGCTGAATATTTGAATATCACTCTCATCGCGTGAAATTTGCGCTTCTGGATTATAGGTCAAGGAATTTGAGGAGTATGGGGTTCGTTCGATTGCAATTAATCATGACACTCCGCATGATAAGACACTCTGGAGTGTACGTGAGAGTGTTGCCTATTGGGCAGTATTTGTATGACATTTCATGCAGCATGTGTCCAAAGGAAGTTTTCATAACCTGCTTGTTGCACCAGAGCAATTCTTTCCAGAAGGTGGACACATTCCGCGACTTGCCCTGCAACTGAATGATCAAAGTTTTATCAACCGCATCGGTTTTTTCTTCATTGATGAAGCACACTTCATTTCCACTGCTGGAGAAGCCCAAGCAGGAGAGAAGATTCCGTTCCATGCAGCATACAGCAAGCTTGCTGAAGTTTTGATCCAGCTTCCAATTGATGTTCCTGTGGCCCTCTTCTCTGCAACTCTTCCGCAGTTGATACTTCAGCGGATTGAAAATTCACTTAAGCTGTCATCTGATGCAACAAGACAAGATCATGCTAACTACCAATCGTCCTAACATCACTCATGCAGTAATTCCTATGGTAGACTCACTCAAGAATCTCAGTAACCTCGATTTTCTCATGCCCATTCCCTTGCATCCAGCAATGGCTTATCCCCCGAAATCTCTAATTTTCATCGATCACAAGCTCAGCACAGCAGCTGTCACAAAGTATCTCAATGCTTGTTTACCTGGAGCTGTTCGCCGAGTCTTCAAATTCAAACATTTACATTCCAGCATGTCACTTGAACACTGTCACAACCCAATAACAAATCAATGCTGGGCAGAGACTAGGACTCAAACAACAGAATAATCACAAAGAGGAAGTGGGCAGCAGGTACATCTTGGTATTGCTCACTTGGAGATACAAGAGGTTTGAACTAAAGAACTACTGACTATGTTGAACTACCTATATACACATATTGAAACTGAGATCGAAACTGAGTATGAACTAACTAACCAATCAGAATAATTAAAGGTATCGTACAATTCTATATATAACTATGATGTCATGACATGTGCCGCAGCTGCAGTAAGACTCTGGAACATTCCAAGAGTGTCGCGTGGCATGAAGTCATCAGGTTCGGCATTGTCCGATAAATCACATGACTCTGGTAATTCTACAATAGACGCAATAATAGGAACTTCTTCTACAGTAAATGTATTCTTAGGAACAGGCACTGTGACTGGGCACTTAAAGGACTTAGAATTGAGGAATGAATAATGGTTTGTATTTGAAACTCGTGACAAACACAACAAATCTGTGTTTGATGAATTCCGGAAGCCTGATGGACTCATTCAGGGTGTGGTGGCTACTTCGGGGGCATCCACCATGACTGTTCCCAAATGAGAACTCCGCAAAGTGATATCTAATGTGATTCCACTCTTTAGGGGATCAATGTCATAGATATACACCTCGTAGTGCAATTCGGCATCACAATCAACATTTCAGAGCACGAGCAACGGGCTGGACGAGGTGGACGAGATCATATGGCATGCATTGTCCTGATGATTGTAGAGAAATGGGCATACAAGGATCAGAATGTTGACATCACCCCTTCTGGAGGATCAAAGTCCACTATGAAAGAGAAACGGACTGATTCAGCAATGCTTCAATTCGTGAATACATCAACATGTCGGCGACAATTCTTAGCTGAATATAACAATGACACGACGGTTGAAGGTAAGTCTTATCCATTTGCGAAGTTAAGTCTCATGGTGGTGTCAGCTCTTGATTACGACAGCATGTTTTGCTGTGATCAACATGCTGATCAAGCATTCAACCTCAACCACTGGTTGCCAGGTGAAACTCTGCCCTCCATTCTTGCACAGTCATGCCTTGACATCTCCATGAATGTTGATGAACGAGCTCCACTCAAGAAAGTACGCAAGAGATACCGTCCAGTGGTGCAACGAATGCCCTTAGAAGAACTTCTCAAAGCATGGCACGAGACAGTCTCATCCAACAAACCTGATATCAAGGGCTGGCCATCTGATTGGATTCTCGCTGATCAGCATATAATCAAGCTCACATGAGAAGAAAAATCAAGCCTCAAGTCAGCTGCCGATATCATGTCATTGCTAGAGGAGAGCAGAGGTGGGCTGCTAATTTTGCAGAGCAGGTTTATCAAACCATCGAAAGCTTCAACAAATCTCCCCCACCTAAGCCTGTCTGAGTGCCTGAAAAATTCTTCTGTCCCTGCTATAGCTAATAGTCCACAACTTGGTGGGCCAGAAATGGAGAAGAACCAGCGGTTATCTCTATCCCCTGGACCTTCTACAAGCGATCTCTATGACACGGACAACACTATTGGTCAATCCTGGCAGCCGCACATCATCTCCAGCTTGTAGTCATTGCTCGACACCAGATCTGGACCCTTCTCTTACAGCTGCTATGTGCTGGCAACAGGTCTGATCCTGATTCGTTCAATTTTCGGATTCCAACATCACCGAACCCACAGCCAAAGAAGAGGGCTTTGATAGGATGACACATTGGTTTTTGTTACATGTTTGTGTTACACTACTCTTCATGAACCCATAATTCAACTGTATTACCAACTGACAATGTCTCAAAATCATCATCCTCGTCTGGAAGAGGAGCGCTATTATCCACCCATGCCCTGTAAGCTCTTGAGAATGTAATCAATCCTTTTGATCTCAGATGAGTACCATCTTCTACCAATATATCCTTTATCTCTTTCTTCACTTGTGCATCCAGGCGTGTAAACATGCAGATTATTCTCCTTGGATTTTGATATCACCTTCATGATGGAGGCTGAGTTGTTGGGTGTTTTGTGGGTGGTACCACCCCATGCACTACCCATGAATTGTGTGAACTGATGTTTCAGATGATGGTATATGGGGATGTTTGGTGCCAAGTCAGCGAGTTGATCCCAGGTTCCATGTACCCCTTTGGCTGCAAACCAATTCTGGATGAAGGATAATCGGCAATGTACTATGATGATGATGCTGTAACACAATATCTTCTGAAAATTGATGTTTTGCTTGCAGTTTTTATCGACTCCAACTGAGTGACCATCATGGCCAGAGATATTGATGAGAATGTTGTCCTGCATCACATTACTACATGTCTTGATAAGTATGGCTTTAGAAGAAATTAAATTACTTACACAAACTGAGGAGTCCAGTTTTTCTTGAGGTTTTGGATAAAGTGAAGAAACTCCGTCGTGTAATTCTTGCATCCTGCACCTGCAAACATCATTGTGAGAGTCCCAAGGAATATTTCTACCCATCCAAAATCTCCTAATGAAACAGCGAGATCAAGCTTGTAAAAAATGAGAAGGTCGCAGTTCAAAAGAATGATATTTCATAGGACACTGTCTTGGCTGTCCACTGATTGACCTGTGATTTGATCCAGTGCATGTGACAAGATATACTTGTGGTAAATCTCCATTGCAAAAGCTTTCATCTCCTCAGGACTATGCCTAGCTTCAGCAAGACTCGAAAGACTCATCCCACATATGGTCTCCCAATAGAGCGTAATGTGCCTCACAAGTACTTGAGTTGCAAATGAGACTAGGGTGTGGTAGTCTGGATATTCTGTGCCAAGCCTTACTCTGCCGAGCAAGGAGATATAGTACTGGAGACCTCCACTCTCCTCTATCGATCCTTGGTGCACATGAAGAATCGCCCAAATCTGGTTAAGCTGGACGTGAAAGAAGCCAGGAGCGAGCTGAAAATTTTCCATGCAGTTCAGTGAGCCAAGGTCATCTGAGTGTAACAGTTGAGCACTTCAAATTCAGTGCATTGGTGGACTGGTCATTGATACAAGGGATGGCTTGGTTGTCAAGGTCATCCACGTCAAAGAAAAGCTGTTCCATGTAAGCATTCCGTGCGATATTTATGTTCCCATCAGTCATGGATTCATTAGTTGTTGTTGTTCACAACACATATTCCTGAGTTTTTGATTGTGGAGGTGGTGGTCGATATGAATGGTGCTTCAAAATTAAAGACATATCGAGATACTCAAATCCAGGATGATTCTCGATTAGAATCTTGACGATATCAATGATCAGGTGTTCTGTCATGTCATGCATATGCGCCTGTGTGGGTCGGATATCGTCCTGAAAATGTGATCGTCTCAGATTTGGTACGGTTTTCGAGTATGGGACGAAGTTGTAAATCCTCCATGGTCGCATTACGCAATGGATATAAGATTACTGTTGTACCCGACTGGACTTTTGGAGGGGCAAAGGCACACTGCTCGACATGAATTGATGTAGAGACTTGTATATTGTCCCACCCTATCATGTGTGGTCCTCGTGTGATTATCTTTGCACAGTTGAATCTGGCCCTCAGCCATGATGGTGTGCGAGTTGTGTAGAGTGTCGTACCCAGGACAGAGTCCACAGTGTGCAAGTAGATCCATATATTTTTGAGACGAACCCATGCTGAACAGACAAAGTCCATTCATGATTTGGAAGATGAGATTATTTTGTGAGTGGATGTTGGAAATCTGCGATTCAATCACAGTACAGTACTGTTCATGTGTCAATTTCTTTCTTTCTTTTGGTTGAGACACATACTGTCTCGATATTCTGATTCTTGTTCTCCTTTGCAGCCCGTGCTGTACACATAGCAGACATAAGAATCTGGCGTAACCATGGTGTAGTCTCTTGTAACAGTTCTGTTAAAGAATGGTTAAGATCAAATGTGAGCAAGAGTTCTGGAGTCACATCTTTCGACAACATCTGAAAAATAGATTTGGCGTTCTCCATCTCAGTGCTAACCTCATCAGTAACTAGCACAATAGCACATTGTCGCAAAATAGCACGGAGCTGTTGTTCTCCTCGCTCATTGGCATCTAACACATTCAGAAGCTGTGCGAGTGCATTACTTCGGAAAAATGCATCCCTCCAAGTGGCCATGCCAGGATTTTCCGAGATGGTGTATAACAGGAGGTCCATGACCATCATCCGCATGCTGCAGAGTATTTTTAGCAAGGAGGTAATCTCGTCCTCCTTGCTGAGGCTACAAGGGTCCACTGTCCATGCTAAAAATTCAGGCGGCAGGGCATACTGCAGCAGGGGTAGTGCTGCCATGGTCCAGTTCAGTCCAGTTCAGAGGGTCCTGGATGAGAACCGAGAACCGGACCACAGAGAATGGTTCTCTGTGGTCCGGTTCAGTTTTTTTCTGGTCCAAACTCAAACCGAACCCAAAAATTTTCAGTGATGAGCGCGAAAAAAACATCATTGAAATACTAGTTTACACATTGAGTAGCTACTCCAATGACATGGCTACATACCCCTCTCTGCCTCTGTAGCCGCTGATCCAAGAGCTAACTGATTTGATCTATACAAATGGTGAGAATGAAATAAAACACAATAACAACCAATGCTTACTGTCGATGGTAGTAGGGAATATGAACACCTGCACATCTCGAGTGAGAGACAGCAGGTGAGAGACAGAGGGTGAGAGACAAAGGGTGAGAGACAGTGGGCGAGAGCAGCCAGCCAGCGTGTGAGACAGTGAGCGAGAGACAGTGGGTGAATGAGACATGGCAAGCCAGCCAGCAAGAACAGCAAGCGAGTGAGAGGGGATGCAGTGAGGTGGCGGGCATCAACATAGGCGCAGGTGGCGTGGCGTGTGATGGGTTGTGCGCTGGTAGCAATGGCATGAGATTGAGCACCAGTCCCTGAGTCAAAGAGGTAGCAGGAGGATGCTGAAGGTAGTGAGAGGGCTCCAAAGGTAGCGAGAGGGTGCCAAAGGAAGTAAGAGGCTACTGGGAGTTAGGTTGGCATGAAAGGTGAACCATGGCTAAAATTCGAATGAGGACTGACACACTCACAGACTGCGAATGATGGGCAACGACTTAGATCAGCATGACTCGAGCTCAAACAAGGATAGAATTAGTACTCACAATCAAGGTCACGTCATTCATGGCGAAGAGAGCATTGAATGTGAAGAACTGGCTGATTGCAGTGTCACCTGAGCCGAAGGGTATTGGGAACTACATTGAAGGCAGGAAATTGAAAAGAGACTGAAGGTGCTTGTTCAGAAGCATGCACTGAGTATGATGTGTGCCTTGACAGATTCTGCCAGTAGTAGTTGGTTGAACATTGAGTCAGCGGCACATTGTGACAGCAAGTCATGTGAGAGTTTGATTGATTAGTACTTACCTTTAAAAAGGCTAAAGGTAGCCTGGTTAACCAATAGTGCAAATCCCAAAGACAACAGTTTGATGTGGAGACCAAAGTTGTCACAGTCGAAGTTGAAGTCGATAACGGTTCGGAATGGTTTGGCAAGGCCGAACCAGATGGCTGTTTCAAGTGGATCGCAAGCTTGCGAGCATTGACACACTGAAACATGGCCTTTGTAAGCGGTCACGTGAAGATTCTCCCCTCTGTGTGCTTCAACGTAAGTATTGCACACGTCCGAACACACAGAGTCAAAAGGACTCGATTCGAGAATCAACACCTCATTCCCTCTTCGCCTCTGCACTCATCTCTATTTGTGCGTCGCTCTCTCTTTTTTGTCCAACTCACCCACAACAGCACAAATCATCTTTTCTATCAGCCTCATGTCTACCCAGAATACCTCAGCTGGTACTCCTGCCATTTCCAATACAACTTCTTCGGCTACAACAGGCAATCAATCTTCAGTCCCTGTCCCCACGACCATGACTCATGATCAAATCATCGCTGAAAATGCACGTCGACTGACAGACAATTTAATCTTACAATCACGCAGAGATGCAGGAGACCTAAATGTCCCAGCAGACGAGCTCATGATACCTGTTCCCCCACAGCCTTCAGGCACGGCTCTACAACAATGGATATCCGCTTTCACCCAACTTTCACCCACATCGCAGACTCAAGGATCTGCGGTCCTAGATTCGATCATTCCCAAAGCAGCTTCTAGACCTAACGTTGCTTCTGTAGCGAAGGTTCTTTTTGATACAGCCAAGGAGCTTCCTACCAGCTCCGGTGTCGATTCCACTTACAGTTTCGGCATCCATAGCTTTGTTCAAGACCTGCTCAATGTGGGCCAATACTGTCCACTCACTCTTTTCACCAATGCTAACACCGAGCGTCTTCATAGGGAAGGCTACACTCTCAAAAGAACCAAAATTAACGTTAACGGCATTTCACACCACCTCCTTGACCTATTGCAATTCGCCAACGAGCTTGATCTCGACCCCCTCTCCTGGCAAGAGGCATATCAGCGTTATCTCACTTGGATCAAAGACATCAGTGACCCTCTCTCACACACGCGTTGGTACAACCACTTCGTCACTTTGTCCAAGGACGAAGCTATACGTAAGAATTTTCGCACTATCATTGAATTTGATGTTGAAACACGGCAAAACTATGCCCTCCGTCCACATCAACATTGTGAGCGAGAGTGGAGAGACCGCTTGCAGATGAAGAAGTATGAGACTATGCAAGATGTTTTCTTTCGCCAACAGGAGTCTTCCTTTCGTCCTGCTCCTGATCATTCAATTCACACTGCTCGTTATGAGCCTTACAACAAATGACAAGACAAGAAACCTGCAGACGCGGATCCAAGTTCCTTTTGAGACACCAAATCCATCAAATCACCTGATCCCATGTGCATTATCTGTGGTCGTTCCGGACACCACTTCTCAGCGTACTCTGAAGAGACTTCGTCGAAAGGAACACAAACATTCTCGAAGTATCTCGCAGGCAACCTCTGCAGAAAGTCTAATGGTTCACAGCTCTGTGTCACCTTCAACCTTAACAACCCACGACGCCCATGCAAATGAGAACATGCAGAGCAACACCTATGCTCTTTCTGCGGACGAATAGAGCACAGTGCTCTGTCACGCCTCTGCATCTGAGCTTCCCATCAAAGATTCTTTCTTGCTCTGTACACTAGACGATTCCTGCGACTCTTCTCACTTTGCACCTCCGCATGTGTATCTTGATCATTTGCAACATGCTCCATTGCCATATGACAACAATTTCGACTACTCATATATTAACACGCCATATTCTGCTGATGGCTTCAACTCCCTTCTTGAGTGCACCAATCTCACGCAATGATCCCCCGAGCTTACTTACAAGCTACGCAATGGTTTCTCCATTGGACATAATCTCACTCTGCTCAGCAGTACTTACATGCCCAACAACCTTCCAGGTGCCAAAATGTTCAAAGAGTTATGCGACAAGTACGTTGTAGGGATTCATTTCTGGTTGGGCTTGTAGAGACTGTTTTTACCTTACCTTATGTTGGCACTTTTGTAGCTTACATAATCAAGCAATCTTTTCACCAGTTACCAGTATGAGTCTGAGTGCTCAGTAGTTTTCTATGATATTTCCTCTCCTCTGAGCCTTGAGCCTGGTCCAGAAACCCTTTAGGGTCGAATAGCAGCTAGGTTCTGCAAGACCCAACATATTGTTCAGACTCACCATCTGAATTGTTGTACCTTCAACGTCACCGAAGAGCTCAACAAGGGCAGATTCTCTGGTCCTTTCACGCATCAAGAACTCTTCGCCAAGATCGGGCATTTTTGCTCGTCTCTGCTGCAGGTCGTCGTCAAGAAGGGCATTGACAGTGCTCCAGACAAACACAGAGTTTGTTGACATCTATCTTACGCAGGATCTATGGGTCACTCAGTCAATGATGAGATAGATGCAGCTGACTACCCCACTGAATGGGGCAATGCTTCGGAATTTGCTGATATTGTACATCACATCTTGTACTTCTGTGTCTGGACGCACTTTGCTATGATTTTACGTGTCGTCCTGCACACACGTTGTAGAGACTCGTGTGTCTCATGGTCTGATATGACAGCTTTACACTAGGAAGTACATAGCATGAACTTGTAGTGTCACTCTGTGCGCTACCCGCAGCTATCTCTATATGAGGCGCAGCTTTCCCGCGCAATGCGCGCCATGCGCGCACCATTCCCGCGCTTCACGATGTATGCGCGCGCCCTATAGCGCCAGCCATTCAGATGCATCCATCCACTGTCCACCAAGCTCCCTAGTACGTATATTTCCATTTCCTTTATTAGCATAGTTCCACCTTTATTTTTATCATAGTTTCTCACTCATATATATTTTTACATACCTACTCGGTAGCGCTTCGGCTCCGCATGACCGCGCTTAGGCGCGCTATATAAGCGCCAGCAGTACATACTACACTTTACCTTACTTTTACCTCCCAATTACTAGTTATCACTTACTTACTACTTAGCAGAATATAGTAGAACTCTATCTGTTTACACCTCGCATCTCTCTTCTCTTATCTAGTATCATATCATCACTTAAGTCTAACCTCTCTGTTGTTTCTGCATACGCACGCGCGCTTTCCCGCGCTTCACGCTAATACACGTGCGTGTTCCCGCGCCTTGCGCGCACCTGCGCTTTCTCGCGCTTCGCTTCAGCGCGTACCTGTAGATCTTCGCTGCACTCGCTTCCCCTATAGGGTCGAACGCACTTGCCATCTCAAGTATCGCAGACTAGGCAACGCATGACCTACAACATTTATAGATACAGCTAGGAGCTATCTTTGTTCCTGGCAGTATTGTTGTTTCTACAACGTAATTCATCGTTTGAAGGCACACACACGTACAATCATGCGCGTCATCCCACGCACTCTGCTTCCATTATAATATGCACATCCTCATCATTCATCTGCAGATTTGCACCGCCCCTCCTGGCGCTCAATTTGCCACTCTAGACATTGAAGCTGCATATCGCGACATCCCTTGCGCTCCAGAACATAAATGCTACATCATCGTTTACCACGACAGTAAACTATACATTGATCATAATATACCTTTCGGCTTAGCGTCAGCTTCAGGTCTCCAAGGAGAGGTTGCAGATGCTACAGTTCAAATCTGGTGTGCACTTGACGTCAAGCCCTCAAAGAAATGGGTCGACGATGTCGCCATATTTCGATTTCCCTCTCCCAATGGTCCCTTTCTCGCCATCTCCAATAATATAAAATACAGATACAATTACAATCTGCCTCATGCGAAATCTCTCATTGCAATTGCCAAGGTTCCATGGCACAAAGACAAGGGCCAACCCTTTCTAGATACGGGTGTATATCTAGGTTTTCTATGGGACGTACCTGCGAAGACTGTAATCCTGGTCAAGCGCAAATGTGTCAAGTACATCGCCCGCTTATCAGAGTTCCTCATCCTCCATCAAGACTCTCAGGTCTCCAAATGGGAGCTTCAGCATATCACTGGCTTCCTCAATCACGCTTCATTCATCATCCCTCACAGTCATTTGTACCTCTCTAATCTATACTCAGACATGTCAGATTACAGCACTAAAGAGTTCGCCCCGCGCTACATGAACAAATCCACCATCTCAGATCTCAAATGGTGGCTCAAAATGATCACTGGCTCTCAATCACCTCTAGACTTATCTCCGCGCACTCCCACCAGAGACTATGGCATTTGGGTAGATGCTTCTACCAGTACAGGCATAGGCATCCTCTGGAATCAATGTTGGGCCTTCTGGTGTACTGTCGAAGACTGGCGAGGTCCATCACAGGACATCGGTTGGTTGGAAGCGACGGCTATTGAGCTCGCTATCCGCCTTGTTTACATCAAGGGCATACACGACGCAGACATCCTGATTCGAAGCGATAATCAGGGTGTCATCGCGGCCTTTCAAAAAGGGTGTTGCTCTAATTTTATGATCAACCTAGCCATTCGTCGTTTGGAAGAACTCCTACGAGAATCCTGTCTTTCCATCACCCTCGTGTATGCTCATACATCAACTAACCTCGCAGGATCCCATATCCCTGAGGTATTTTACCCTCTGTCGCCTCACAGTCTCTTGCTACCTCCCTCTCTCCCTCCTACCATTGCGCCTTACTTCACTGATGAATGAGAGTGACCTCTATTGTCGAGTAATGCAAGGTGTCGATGTTGACGCCGCTGCCAATGCCTTCTGGGCAGCTCATCCTCTGTCTTCCATCCATCAATCTGTCTCACTCTCTTTACAACAATCCAGAGCACGCACAGCTCACACTCCGAGGCTCAGCTCTTCCATCGCTCCTTCCCAACATTGCCCCATTGTTCTTGCCAGGGATCGTCTTCTTCTCTGGACCACTCCATCAGGCACTGGACTGGCAGACTGCACTTGAGCAGAAGTACCCAGACTCGTCTCTTTTTCGCTTATTTCAAGTACGCCCTCTCGCATCGCTATTCTCTCCCCATTTCATCTCTCTCACTCAGGTTATGATATGTTCTCTTGACACAGACACACGTAGTAACTATGGTGCTGGCCTCCTATGATACATGCAATTCTGCGACTCCATCTCCATCTCCGAGGCTGAATGCATGCCCATGGCAGAGGCCTTGCTGTCTCAATTCATGGCAGCCTTCGCAGGTACCACTTTGGCCAAAACTCTCAACAACTGGCTTGCTGGCCTTCAATTCTGGCACGTAATCAACGGTGCACAATGGCAGGGAGCCCAGCTACTGCATCACACCCATCGTGGCTTCTCCAAGATGGTGCCTTCCTCATTGCGTAGAGCCAAATGTCCTCCTATCACCATAGATGCCTTATGCATCCTATTCGATAATCTCGATCTTACACTCCTGTTTGATGCAGGCTGTCTGTGCAGTAGCTCTCATTGCATTCTGGTGCTGCTGCCAGGTACACATCTCTTTCTCTCCCTCTACATCAGTTCCCTTAACTCCTTCTATCGCAGGCTGGGGGAATTGGTAATTCCCAGCATTAACGTCTTTGACCCTTCGAAGCACATCTCCCAATCGGTCACGCTGATATCATCCTTCGAGGTGCTGGACAAGCACAATTCACAGGCTGCAGTCTTCCATATCCCCTGGACTAAGACCACCATGGAACAAGGCACAGACATTTCTCTTACCTCACAAGACCATCACACCTGTCCTCTGTGCGCCCTAGAACTACATCTGCTCATCAACAGTGGCATCCCAGAGGGTGCACCTCTGTTTGCTTATCTCACAGACTCGGGATGGTCACCCATGATGAGGCCAGCCTTCCTCACTCACTGCAATGAGATCTGGATGTCGCAGGGCTTTCCTAACATGCCTGGTCATGCCTTCTGCATCGGAGGCGCTACAGAATTGTTGCTTCAAGGCGTTCATCCCGACATTGTCTCCACCCAGGGGAGATGGTCGTTGGACACTTTCCTAGAATATTGGTGTCGCATTGATACTATCTTGCCATTGTTCATCACCTCCTCTGCCAATACTCAGCAGCTGGCTGATATTGATCAGGTCATGGACTCCTTCACTCAATGTCATCACTTGTCTCGCACCGCCCCATCATCTTAATCATCACCACGTACTCTTTCCTTTATCTATGTTACAGGCTTCGCATACATTGTATCTTGTCCAATCTCACCCTTTTCCTTGCTCATCTAATCGTTTGCTTTAAGTGTGTGGGTTGGGTCCTGTCAGGACCCACTCTCAGTTGTGAGTTACACTCTGAGATGGTCTGAATGTGTGTTTTTCCTGATGGACCATTGTATTGGTCTGTACACGTCTCTTTCCGAACACACTCTGAAGGTCTGATCCACTCGGTCCCAAATCTCTCAACAGCCAAGCTTCTCCTTGCTGCTCCCTGGGATCACATACGTAGTCCAGTCACTGGCCCCCCTCCCACACACAAAACGAATCATTTTTATATCATCTTCACTTTGATTCGTTACTAAACCTCATCTTGATTCGCAGAAACCTAGTCTAAGTTCTCTACACTCTCCGGACCATCTCCAGCATCAAATATTAAGATCTAAAGTTCTTTACACTCTTCGGACCACCTCCGGTATCAAAGATTAAGCTTATCTAAGACTTTTCCTCAATCTGAATATTTGATCACTCTCATCTTCCTCTGACCATGCATTTCATACAAAGGATGGGACCGTTTGGGCAGACCTAGAACCGAGAACCATTTTCCGGTCTGGTTCTGGCTGGTGTGAGAACTGTGGACCGAACCGCGGAGAACTGGACCAAAAGTCTGGTTCGAACCATGGTTCTGGACCAGGACCGTGGCAGCACTAAGCGGGGGAGTATAATATGGAGCAAATGGTATCATTTGAAGTATCCTATTTCAATTTTAGTGATGCAGCGCAAATGCGAGAAAGATGTGGTACTCTATGCAGTGCGCGAACAAAAGTTTCTGAGTGATTGATAGTCGACAGTAACTATGTAGCACTATTACTTCGACCGGCACGACCGGCATCTGCTAAATTGAAACTCAGTGCATCGCCTGCCAAATCTCTCCAAGATCGACCAGCCTGGCTACACGCCCAAATGTCCATAGCCTTATGCTGACATCGGACGAAAATTGTTTCACACACATAAGCATGTGGTAAAAGCAAGGTTTGAACGACCGTTTATTAAGATTAGGAAAAAATGCTCAATGGTGGTTGATTTACCGTGTTTATGGGACCAAAATTTCTGAGGTTGGATTGAGGTCAGGCTGAGCACTATGGCCACCCTGGACAGGTGGTGGTAGTGCAGTGTGCAATACACCAAGAGTTCCTCTCGACCTCTACTTTTTTTCCCTCTCGAAAAGCACTTTTTTTTGATCCAAAAACCTTGAAACGTCCAAACGTGAACAGAGCGCTTGTCTGTTTGTCTTCATATATTAGCCTAACAGTTAGTTATTTGTACCCAGTGAAAAACCTTGAAACGTCCGAACATGAATGGAGCGCTTGTCTGTTTGTCTTCAGCGTATTGGCCTAACAGTTGGTTATTCGTGCTTAGTGAAAAACCTTGCAACATCTGAACGTGAACGGAGCACTCGTCTGTTTGTCAAAATCCGGTCCTAGATTCCTAGCAATATATCTACGATAAACGACAGATTTATTTATACAACGGTAGTGGTTATATTGTAGAATTTGAGAAGACGAGGCAGTGAGTAGGGAGACACGAAATGACTTCAAACTGACATAGCAATGGATGTGAACGTGGTGCGAAACAAATTAGTGGACAAGGTAAAGCATAGGGAGACACAAGGCGACTGCAAGCTGACGGTACGATGAATCCTAGAACATGTGAACGTGATAGGAAAAAAATTAGCGGACAAGGAAGCCAAGGATGCTAGAAGTACATACCTATTGAATATCACTCTATATCACATGTCGATATCCATGTCATCCTGTGATGAAAGGACGTCAGAAATGAATAGTTGTGCTGAGAGATGCACGAACCGAGTGAGCGCGCATCTCTACATCAACATCATCAATGTCCATATATTCCTGCGACGGAGTTGCTGAGAGATTGAGCGCACAAAATGAAGGATACATACCGGTTGAGCACTGTTCTCCATTACACTGTCGCACACCTCCATCGCATCCTCCCCACCGGCCTCATCATCATCGACGATCATGTAGTTTTCCTGCAATGAAAGAATGTAAGAAATGGATAGATAGATAGATATCTTTACATACCGGTTGAGTGTTGTTTGCGACATCCTCCCCTTTGTGTTCGTCGTGGTCAATGTCCATCGGTTCCTACAATGAACAAATGTTAAAAAAATGGACTAAAGTACGCATTACACTTACTAGGTGAGTCCCCTCCCCTTCACATTTGTCGTGGTCAACGTCCATGGAGTCCAATGAAGCAACAATCTATGCACCTTCAGTCTTATATCAGAGTAGATATGAAAGCACTTACTGAATACATCATCGTACTAGTGGTTACTATCAGATTGTGTAATGGTAAGATGTTGGCGAAGGTGTTGGTCAGTTATTTGTTGTGACGCGTTGTGATTGTGATTGTGACAATCACCTCTGAGTTTTGTCCGTCACCACTGCAATATGGCGACTGCTATGATGAGCTTTGGCCTTTTGTCAAAATGATGTTAGCGAATAAAACTAAAATTATTATCTCAAGCAGCGTGATACAAATTTCGCCAGAAGGGGAGGGGCTTCAGTTGATGTTCATCTTTAGCCGAGAGCCAAAATACAGGTGCTGAAGGCTCCAGAAAACAAAAAAGATCTACACGCTGAATGGAAGCTATGAAGCTTGAGTAGCGTGCTGCGAGTCACGTGACATGACAATGCTCAATGCGACTAATCGCGAGAGCAAAGAGATGTTTCGATAAGCTAACAAGGAGACAGCTAGATGTCAAAATGAGCACAGTCAAAGTCCTTGAGTGTGAGGTATTTGAGGAGCTCGAAAGGACGTACATGCAGCAACGTACCCATGTCAATGACACCGGCGGAAGAGAGCGACGGTGAAGATATTCACGATGAAGGCGTCTAGGAATGGCATCAAGTAGATGTACAAGAACAATAGCGCAGGTGTGCGTGACACGAACATGGCCTTGATAAAAGTCAAATATTTCTTTGGATGTTGTGTCCATATGAAGACCAGAAGCTTACCTATGTACTGGAAGTAATGTGTCTTTTCCAGTAATAGATTGGATGTAACATACACATGCATGGGTATGAACCTATTCAAGGCGGTGATTGTGCCAAAATACAATAGTTGACGTTGGTCGTGGTATTACTTGTGCAAAGTATTATTAAGAGTCACTTGAGAGTCACTGCCAAATGCTCACTGCTCACGTTCATTGACCAAGTATTCAATTGCCCTCTGGCCCTCCGCAACTTCACCAATCGATTCAATTATGGTCTCTCAAATTTCTGTAAACTCATTCTATGTCGAGAGGTATTCTTCTTATTTTTATAAAGTTCCCAATACAATTTCCCTGGGGGCCCTGTGCATGAACATCCAGCAACGTATCAAGCAGAAATTTCAGCGTGAATGGTATGAAGACCAAGTCCACTCTGATCTTACGTCAATTATCTTATCTTCAAGTAAGCTCTGTTATTCTATTGATGTTGTTCATTTACATTATTTCCAGACACACATGGCTCCACCTTACTAGAAAACAATGCTACAATCCTTGGCGATCTATGTGGACCGATAGACCGCATACATGCAATCGTTCCTTCACAACAGCTTGACAGTTCCAAAGCTCCCTCGCAGCATGTGGCATTGATGCCCAATAGCATGAGCAGTCCTGACTATGACAGGACTCAGGAGCTCCTATTTCTAATATGTACACTCGACCAGAATTTGACAGAAGTGAGGCGAGCATGAGAGGAGGATAGGCGAGCACAATCAGTGCGAGACAATGAACTCACCACATTGAAGGCATCAATGGATGCTATCGTTCAAAACCAGCAACAAGTATCTGAAGAAATGAGGGTATGGAACCGCGACCGTGCAGATGACATCCGTCAGCAGAAGATGATACAGCAAAACTTGAAGGACAACCAGGAGCATTTAAGCCACCTTCGGGAAGCTCATGCCCACAATGAGCGAGTTTGGATCTACAGCGACCAACAGATCAAAATGTTGGAGGATGGACGACAGGAGGGTGGTATCCATATCAGAACACTGGAGAATTCCCTCACTGTGGAAGGGACATGGATCAAACAGTTGGAGAGTTCGATCGAAAGCTCAAAGAAACAGTGTGAGGTGCAGATGAAGGTGATACACGAGGAGGCAGAGGTGAAGTTGAAGGACGTAGAAGCAAAGTGCAAGGATGTGGAGGTGATGCATGACGCGGGGAAGAGGCAGTGGGAGGTAGAGAAGAAGGCATGGGAGGTGGAGAGGTCGTCAATGGCTGATCGTATCGAAGAGGTTGAGGATATGACCATTGCAACTGTTGGTTGGGTTTGTGGCATGGTACGTCTTCAATCACTCGATCATAACAACAACAACAAATTAACATTCAATCAGGACACTAAACTAATTGATTGCATCCTACTCCGGCATCTCCTCAACCTTACTCAAGCCAAACTTGCCAAACTTGCACAATTGACTGTGCCTCCAGGCACCAACCGTGCTACACAATCTATTTTGTGGCGACATGCATTTGGAACTACCCATGTATTTGCAGAATGCTTGCAAACAGCGCAGCGACTTTTGAACAGAACGGACACCCAGCTCGACAGTGCTACTGTTCAATTCATGGCTGATGCGAAAGGGATGGATCTCGCCATCCAAAAATTATCTGCAATTCGAGAAACGGGTGACCTCGTGGCCCACCTGAAGCCAGAGCCATTTGTCAAGAAGCATTCATACAAAGCATTTCACGCCATAATGTTACTGAGGAGTGTGCAGGTCTTTTAGCGATGGTTAAATTTGTTATGATTGGCACAGTTTGCTCATAGGTACGACTATGAGCTATGATGTACAACATATGGTATTCTAGTTGATAGCTACGCAAATCTCGAATGTTGTATGTAGAATTTTGTCGCTTCATTCAAAAAGGAGGTCAAAAATGAATAGACAAGAAATGGTTCGTCCCTCACTGGCTGCAATTATGCAATTTCACAATTTGTTCATGAACCCAAGGACTTCTCAATTCACTGATCAACTACTACTGGCAGCTGCAGGCACTTTCATCAATTTTTTGGAGATTTCATGTTACAATGTTTTTATGTGTCATAGCTCTCTGCACCAATGTTCATCCTTGTCTTCCCATGACACAATCTCTCCCTTGTATTGTTGGTGTTACAAACTAGGATAGTTCTAACAGCAAGGGCTCGACAGAGCGTTCGTGTTGCTGAGATTCGTAAAGCCCTTCAAATAAGAAGAGATTCGTAGACTTAGTTAAAGGAGTGCTTTAACTAAGAGATCAGTTCTGACGACTTAAGATTGGTGGTCTTAAGTGAAGGAAGTTCTGGATAAAACCTAGTAAGATTGAAGTGACGTTTCTAGGTAAAGTACACGTGCTTAAATAGGACACTATATGCGCACGGACCAAGGCTAAGGTGGGATAATAGTACACAGGTCGAATATGGAAGTCAGATCAAAAAGGGGAATTCAAGAGCGAAGAAAAGGTGATGCATAATAGTGAATCGTTAAGTAGGGAGCAAAGTGATTGTAACAGTTGGTCTGGGAAGCTCCCATGGAATTCACCCATAGCCGGACTTTCTGCAAATCTGTGTGTGGTCGAGCAGTTATGTCATTCAACTTGTGAGCTGTTTCTCCCTCAGTGAAACCATTTATGCTGGTGTTATGAGCTGGTCCCGGGCCATTTTGCCCCCACACACTGGCAGGAGACTATTATATATCAGTCGACCATGGCGATTAATTTAATCTGCTGATAGTAATTGTGATTATGAATTCCGCCCTGAAAATACGAAATCAGCCAACAGGAATGCAGCATAGAAGACTGCAGCATGGTTAATGCGTGGAGTCGTCATTATGAGTGCAGGGCTGACACATTGGTTCGGCACCCACACATGCCTGGCACTGGTTGACTTTTTCTTTACTCTCCTACTCAGAGCTGAAGCAATGCCTAGGTCTTCAGGTTCGTCAATATCTCGACTAGATCCCGAAGGTAACAGATTACCACTACCTTCCTTCGATATTTAATTGTTTTATCTTGCAGTTTACATGCAAATCAAAGGCAGAAATGAAGTTGCCTGCAAAGTGTGTACAAAGCGGAACGAGAGCCTTCTCACTATGAGAATATGCCATGTTAGTGGTCATGACCGAAGCAAAAAACATCAGCGGCCAGTTACCTGTGCTTTGGAGCGTGTGGAAGCAGGAAGTCCTCATGTGTCTAAGCCCTCTGCCCTGGAAACTGACGTGGACATGCTTGACCTGCCAACACTATTTTCCCTGCTAGACTCAGATAGCACTGCTCCCCCTGAAAACTCAGCTTTTTCACTAGAGAACATCACAGGAGCCACTGATGATGATCATCTTGAAGTCCCTATTGGCGATCCGTGGGATAGCACAGTTACCAAACACACAATCGGCAGTGACTACTATGAAGAAATACTGGCAGCACTCCGACGAGGAGAATCGTTATTCTTGTGTCCCTTGGAACCTCTCATGGAGGAGATTGGAGTAGAACTTGACAATGATCTCGCTATTGAGGTAGATGACACAATTCTCGATATTCTTGGTAAGTTATGTTGCATATATTTCTCTTTCTTGCATTAATACCAGTCCAAGTAGATGACGACTGCTCCCGCACAAATGAAATCAACCCAGGTTCCTCAACTTATCCATGGACGTCAATATCGGTATAATTTTGGAGTCATGCGCTCGCATTCAGGTACTCACCTGTCAAGTAGGAATGTATCACACAACTCCTATTCAGCTCGCCTTGCACTCGGTTTTCGGAGGCTCAAAAGAGGGCTGTTCTGGACTGGGCTACTGCACTCGGTGCTAAAGACGTTCCGACACTGTACAGTATCAAGAAAACTCAAGACCATATCCGTGACTTAGTGGGAAATCCAACTGAAAAGGTTTGCGCAAAGTCGGGCACCGTGTTTTACCTCAATTCTGTTGCAAAAGCAATCGCAAAGGTCTGACTTTTACAAATACTCATACAGTTCATCACTGACATTATCTCCAGGATTATGGCAATCCTCTTACACGGTTCACCATGCGGGATTACCCAGAAGAAGGAGATGGAAGGATGTCGCAAGTTCATCATGGCTACAAGATGATGCACAACCTCCCTGATGACCTTTCCCCACCTACAGTCCGTGTGGGAATCAACATTTTCTTTGTTGACGAGCTCCTTCAACTGTCGTCCATGGAATATTTCATTCCAAAGAAGTTTTTTGAGGTGAAGATAACTCCTGACAACAACGCTCAGACATTGGCCTTAGGTCACATTGTTGTGCGGACTGACGTGAGTTACTGTTATGACTACGACAAATTTTATCTGACTCATTGGTATTAAGGCAGGATTTTCTGTGGATCCCAAGCGCGTGCTCACTCCAGTCTTGTCATTTGTACGGACATTTGAGGATATTAAAGGCCATGCAACTGAGTTCGAGTGCGGTTTCACAGGTTTCGTTCACTCGTCGATATCTCTGTCTTCAAGGGCTGATTTCTGTGATAGAATCATCTGCGACTCATGCCTGCCTTATGCCAAATCCCCTTCATGCAAAATCGGGTGGCCGGATGGTGCTAACAGTGCCACTCATCGTCTTCATGGACGATGTCTCAGGGAACATCTCCAAACAGTGGAACAAGCATCATGTTGTATATATGTCAAACACTGCTTTACCTCGTGAGATGCTGGAGAAGGAGTTTTGTGTGCCCTTTGTCTCATCCTCACCTCATGCCACTCCAATGGAACTCATGTGCGGCTTCAAGGAATCTATCGTGTTCATTTTCACTCAGCTCTAGAGCAACAGGATGCTAACCATAAGAACACAAAAACAGTGCTGCAGCGAGCGATGGAATAATCACTTGGGATTGTAAGTACAATGATGAGGTGATGCTTGTTCCCTATGGCCTTTTCGATGCAGGCGGAGGTATGCAGCCATAGTAGCCTTAAATGTAACTACTTCTGCAGAACATGTAAAGTTGGTGGTACGACTGTGGAGAAAAAGTCTGACAATGGTTACCTCAAAATTTTCAAGGTGCGCTTTCCTTTGGACAGGTCTTACAGGATTTAGTTGTGGCTACTGACGACTTTTACCTTACAGTGTGGTGAACTTCGAACACCTGAAGGCACGAAGATGGATATTTTGAAGCAAATAGAGCTTTCAAAACTCTCTGGTGGTACAGAGAAGGTCAAGAATGCTGTCAGCTTGACAGGTACTCGTGATGCTGCGACAACACACATGGTCAGTCATTTGCTCGAACTTGGCAAGCGACTGTGAAAACGCCAGGCTGGAAAACCCATCATGTCAGAAGAAGATGTCCGAAGGCAGCTTGAACAGGAGTTCAAAGACATGCTTCATGGATCGCCCCTTGAAGATCACCTCAATCCACTACTTGGTATGCCTGGTGTCAACATCCACCAAGACACACCCACGGAGATTCTTCACACCATTCTTCTCGGCATCGTCAAATATTTCTGGGGTCAGACTGCTTGGATACTCGACAAGGGTCATCTTCTTGACACTTTTGAAGCACGATTAGAATCGATCAACAAGGATGGCTTGAATTCCCCAATGCTTGGTGCAAATTACATTTGCCGTTTCAAGGGCAGTCTTATTGGCAAGCACTTCAAAAGTCTTGCCCAAGTAATGCCATATCTTATTTATGATCTTGTTCCACGAACGGTTCTGAACGGTTGGACGGTGATCGGCAAACTGGTAGTACTTCTTTGGCACACATCGATCGAAAACACAGAGCTTTATCTTGTAAGACTATTTTCACTATGTACTCTACTTGATTGACATCAGCTCAGGCAAATCTTTCGCGAATGATCAACGATTTTCTTAGTATCAGTGTACAGTCCGCTCCCAGCATCCTCATCACAAAGGCAAAATTTCACTTCCTGGTCCACATCCCAGCGTACATACAACATTTTGGTCCCGCTCTCCTCTTTTCTACAGAACATTTCGAATCCTTCAATCATGTATTCCAATTAGCAGCAATCTACAGTAACCGCCAGGCTCCAAGTCGTGACACGTGCAATGCATTTGCCATGCAGGACATTGTCAAGCACATCGTTACAGGAGGTTTTTGGGTAGATCCGAAAACAAAAAGATGGGTGAGTGCTGGGAAGGATATTATAGATTACATGGATAATCATCCACATCAACGACACTTGTTGGGGTTTCATACAACACGACTAAAGCCCGCAGGTAGGTTAAAAATATTGATACTGCCTAGGTTATTTATTTTTATATCATCTGCTCTGTATCTAGGATCTTCTCATTTGCCGACACAGCAGAACACTTGAGGAAAGTCCGAGGCAATCCCACCAGTGGACTGGCATTCGACACACTCAGCAGCAGCCCTGTCCCATGACAACAATCTTCTTCGAGTCACACCAAGCAAGTTCTACAAAGCTAATTCGTTCACAGCAGTCAATCAAGATACAGTATCTCTAGAGGCCCATGTCATCTTTAGAAGTAGGAAGGAAAATTCAGATCAGGTCAGTCCGCCAGCGCTTACTTGTGTCAATCATTCCCTTACTTTTACTTCGAGGATCAACTCTTTATTGGAAAGGTCATAGAAATTCTCATTCAGCAAGGAAAGACCTGTCTCATTGTGGATCACGTAGTCATCACCCGCTTGGCATTCTCGCCAGATCTCCACCCTCAGCTCAGTGTCCCATGTCTGAAACTTGTTCCTGAAGATGAAGTTGTTGTAGCACCCAAGGTAACAGTCCTCGTCTACGTAAAACTCCTCCATTTATGCTAAAATGCCCTTGTAGAACATCCTGTGTGCGGTCAATGTACAACATGATTGCATCACATCGGATTCCAGCTGCAATATTCAGTACACCCGCGAGAAACAGGAACATGCTGAAACAACGAAGACCAAATGTGTCACTCAGCATACAGCAAATAATGCCTATGTTCTCAACACGCATTCTCTCCACAATTATTCACTCATTTCAGCTGTCATTCCACCTGAAATTCATGTTCAAATGGCATCCCCACAAATCCCAAACCACTGAAGAGATACGACTGAATGGAGCCAAACACGTTCGCCAGACAAAGAAGGCAGAAGATAACGAGAATGCCACTGCAGCACCCATTTCTATAGATATCGCTTGTGAAGGCGGTATTGGCTCAGTCACTGTCCCAGCCTTTGATCACACAGCAAAATCTACTGGGAGGAAAGGAAAGGGTAAGACGGTAGCAAAGGGGAAGAAGAAGGGCTCTGCTACAATTCAAAGCACTGCAGCACCTAGCAGCGCTATGCCAACAATGCCACAGCCACACCTGTACCCACTGATTATCCCGCAGGACACCCAACCTTCATTTAACAATAGCCTGCCACCACCACACACTCTTTCAGCCTCCATCATACGGCCTGCGGCCCATGTACCATGCAAATGTGCAAGGCAGTCACCCCTTGCACATGTACCCGACAACTTTTCCACCTTATCACCCCATCCCGCATGCAACAACTTTTCCGCCCTATCACCCCACCCTCCACATGCGCACAGACATGCACCCTTTTGCCCATGCAGGACTGTCTCACCAACAACTCTCCCTCATACCAGCTCCAAGCTTCACACTGTCCACTCCATGGAGAGTTGATGGTAATGGTCCTGTCATGGATGGATTACCCCACTGATATGGCCCTCTGTCTTCAACACAGCACATGTCTTCATGGCAGTGGCGTTCTTGCTGACCCGCAAGGAGCGCATCTGCCTCGCAAAACTATGGCTACCCGTGTCTCACTTCAATAAGCAAGAATGGGTACCTCGTCAAGATCGAGGAACAAGATGGCAAGCTACCATGTCCATTGGCTCGACAGATGGCTTGGCCCGGTTACCCGAGATGGCGCAAGGAGGTCAAAAATTCTACTATGCATGCTATCGACATTGTGTAGCGAGCCAAGATTGATCTTATTCTGTGAGTCATGTATCCAAATTTTCGGTGGTCCATCGGCGATCTGATGCACAGGATCCATTTCACTCAGGATCTCTCACAAGAATGATTGGTTTGTTGTATTATGTGTTTTATACCGCTTCACTGCATCAACCTGCCTCGTTTCTAGACACATGGGATGTGACTCTTGTCCCATCGCATCCGATTGAGCAGCTGGTACCTACTGGCGTTCAAATCTGACTATCTATTCTACATGACCGCATCAATATCACCGTTTTTTTATCTCGAGCAGCTAATCCATCTGTAATATTTTTAAGGTGATTTTCCACGTATTTTTGTCACGTGGTCAGAGTTCCAACATTGTTGCCAGCTGCACTCTCATCTTGCACCGCCACCATCAAGCCACATGAGTCTGTTGGGTCAGTTCAAGCTGCACCAAGCCTTATCTACTCCAACACCAAATGTGCAAACACCCACATGTCATACAGCAAGCTTGAGTCCTCGGGCACCATCTCCCTTTCAGATGTCTCTGCGAAGGGCACACTCTGAATCTATAGTGGAGGAACAACGCAAAAAATGTCTTAAGCACCATGCTGTCACTGTCTGCAAGAGTTTGAACTTACTGGATGACGCTTTAGAAGCCTTTGCATCAGTGCGTTCCTACAATTTGCTGCATATTAACAGTCTACTGAAATCCTCTGAAAGCTCAATGCCGAAGAGAAGTTGAATGAAATCAGGGGCATGCTCATGTCCTTGTGTCGTACAACCAAGTGTAATGCAGCACAGGAGTTTATTGATTCCAAGGACTTTGAGGTAATCTGGTGTATAATATATTGTGCTTCATATCTACTGACGCTATACAAATTTAAAGCACATTTTGAAAGACAGGTTACGTGTTTGTTTGTTGTCGCCCAACTTGCCATCGTATGTGTCATGCTTGGCAGAACAGGTCATTGTGAGTAACAGCGGCGGAGTCATTACTATCCCTACTGCAGCACCTAACTACATATATTTCAAATAGAGATATGCGAAAAAGGACCCAGCCACATTCAAGATTCCTGATGCTGTGTTTCAGGACCCTGAAATGACAGACTAAACAAATGTGCAGACTAGGGAAATTCTGACTTCGCAACGAGGACTCATCAAAGTAAAGGTAATGACGCTCGATATTCCTTGAGTTCCTCGCCATGACTGACAACTTTTCACAAGCTCATGACAAGCATCACAAATAAAACGAACATTTCTGTTCTTGCAAAGTCGTTATCGTCGAGTGGTCATGAAATAACTGTAGCACACTGGGCTCGGTTTTCTTTTTTGGTGAGGGCTGCTTAGGATTGATGTACTAAAATTGATGCCTATCTCAGCGCTCGTTGTTGGTCAACTTCATACAGATTGTTGATGAATCTGCAAGGATCTCTGTGGCACAAAAGAGCAGAGAGGCATCTACAGCTGTCGTGGACCCAGCACTGTTGAACATAGATGACGAAGAATGTGAGGGGTTTGGAGCTGCAGATAACACCCCTCGTATCTGGGTGATTTCTGAATATTGGGAATACATTGACTTACTCTTAACTGATCTCCGAACGGAGTCTCGGAAAGCTGCCAAGGCAAGCCCTGTGACATCGCCAGTCACAAGCAAGGGCTACTTGAAAGAGTGAGTTTTTAACTTGTCGAGTATCAACCATTGTTCATCTATATTTTTTAGTTTTTTCAAGAACTGTCTTGAGGCAGACCTCAAACAATACTCAGCTGGCTGCGAGGGACTCAAACCAGCATTCGAGAAAGTAACAGTTAACTGGCAGCGAGCCATTCACAACGAACTGGTTTGGTGATCGTGCTTCATCCCCACATTCTCAACACTTTACTCTCCTTCTAAACTTACTATAGCTATTTTACCACACCCAAGTGTATGCTTAATAGATATGCAGCTAATAATGAGTTATCTTTTTCTTACCTGTCTGGGAGGAGTGGTGGGTCTGACTTCTAGCGATGCAAGTTTGAGTTTGTTACAGCCGCCAACATTGCTCAGGTATTCGTTTTCATGTCATGGCATCGACATTCGGTCTTGTGATGCTTTTCCACAAACTCAACATCAGCATACTGCAAATTTCATCATTGTGGCTGCACAGCTTTTGACCTCAGCCTGACCCTTCAGTACAGGCTACTGTCGGGTCTGAGTCAGCGTGTACTATACGCTTAATTAATGGTGTTACCAACATCGGCACTCATATCACTTTGCCATTGGTAAGTGTTCGTCAGCTCACTGCAAATTTTAACATCGCAGCTGGTCAGCTTGTGACCTTGGCCTGACCCACTACAAGGGCTTAACTACCATCAGCACTTATGCCACTTTGTCGTCAACCAGACCTCAGTTCACTACAACTTTTAACATCACAACTGCACAGCTTTTGGCCTCAACTTGATCATTTGATTGTGGCCATTGTTCGATCTGAATAAACATCTATCATATGCACGATATCAAAGGTGCCACCTATATAACTTATTATATCGTATCAATAACATTTCTGATGTTTGTATGGTCTCTTATATTTAGGCATTATCAACATCACTCTCGAAGGTTGAAACTACATTGACGAAAAACCTCCGGAGAGACCCGTTTTGGAGGTCAACCGGAGACAACCAGTTTTGGGGGTCAGATTGACGCCGACAAGCTCTGGGCGTGTACACCACTCGACTTGTCCATGGTTATATAAGCCAGGCTGGTCCCGAGCCTAGGTACTCCCCAAGTTATGATGACGACTTACAAGAGTAACCAGCATGAGCGCCTCTGTTTTGGTGTTGCTCCGACAATAAACAAAAGCCGCTAAGTGATTTTTGAGATTCTGATCAATCGATATGAAAATAGCTGTAGGCCTGAGTTGGAACAGGTTATGATAATATACTTATCCCATGTCGGAACCGATCAAGGCTCCGAGTTGGAACAGAGCGCCACATACTCTGAATGACTCAAGAGTTCTCTGATACCACAATATCACTGTTATTCGCCTCGTTTCCCACAATCATAAGGAATGTCAGAAGAGGCAGACGATTCAATGGCTTCTGCTCAAGGGCAACGAGAGAGGTATGTCCTTTGCCTTCTACAAAATCTATTATGAAGCATAATGCATTTGTGACTACAGTTCCGAAATCTTGTTGCGCCAAATTCTCAATGTGCTAAAGCAATCAACCATCGCTAAGAAACTACTCTCATTGGATGACTGGAATGGCTTCTGGGATGTATATGATCAGGAAGCAGAAGAGTTTGACAAATCATTCGTTCAGAAGTATGCTTCGGATTTGGACAATAGTCTAATTTTCGTAAGCTTTTCTGGCAATGAGTCTATCTATTGACCGAGCGTATCTTTCAGGCAGGTCTTTTTTCAGCCGTCAATAGCGCTTTCTTGGGGGCGATGCTCTTTAACCTGAGCCCCGTTCCCAGCGACACGACAAATGCCTTATTAATGATGATATACCATCAACTCAATCACACCACGTTCCCAGGGCAAGTCCTGAGTCTTCCCTCGTGGGATGGCCCCCTTTGGATTACCGTCTGGACACAGACCCTCTTTGTGACATCTTAAATCTCGTGCGTTCATTTATGTGACAATGCCCACACAGATCTGCGCATTTCGAACAGCTTCACGCAATGTCAGGACTAGGTTGACTACACGCATTCCCACTGTATCCATACCATCATTTTTACATTTGCCAATACTCTTACAACAAATTATGTATTTTCCCATGTATAACGTGTATCACTCTGAGTGCTGACGAGTTCGAAGGGGAATGCGGATGACGGGAGTTGTGGAGAGACTTTGGTAGACAAATTTCGAATGTCTTGAAGAGTTCTTTGGACGGACTGGCAACTGCCCCAGTTCTTGACATCGAGTGCACTGCACTGCGGTGGTAATGAGTCTCAGAGCGCTCTAAGATTCTTTCACTGATCTACCGTAAAGATGATTTTTATAGACACTGGCGTATTCATTTCTCACGAATGCATAGCCGCAGCGTTGGGCTTACCTTCTGTATAGAACTTTGTCAAGTCGGCTGGTCATATATCCTCCTGATAACAGGAGACGGGGCAGTTTCAACTTCACAGCCTCGGGTGGCTCCGGGACTAGTGATTCACACCCAGATTTGTGTCTCAGCAAAGATCTTGCGACGCAGCGAGTTCCAAGATGTATACTCCGGCATGACTTTTGCCATACTGGCCAACAGTTCACGTTTCTTTCAAGCGCACATACATTCGAGGTACAACCTAGGCATTCAATGTTCTCTCAGGTTCTCACTGTTCACGTTGATAACATCGTTCATCATCTCAAGACGGTCTTCCATTTTACAAAAAATGATATCAGAACCACTCTGATACCTGTCGTATGTGCCAACTATTGTACCTTTGATCCCCTTGTTTAATTACACTTTCTAGACTATATTCGCATTATCCGCAGCTCCCACATACAACCCCACCCATGCTTGGAATGCCCCTTTGTGGATATGGTTTCACCTACTGCAGTTCAATATTGCGAACCAGATCCAGGATCTGGAGGAGGACCGCAAGAACAAACCCTCCCGTCCGATACCTGTTGGTCGCATTTCTGTCGACAGCGCAGCTGATATGCGCTGGGTGATGGTCCCAGTCTGTTGCTATCGTTGTGTACGGCACTCAGGCTATGCTGACCGGCACCGTTTTTGCAACGTTGACAATCTGGTACAACAAACTTCACGGTGATAAGATGGGATTGTCGAAGAATGCACTCACAGCCATCCTTGGTGGCCCGTGGGTATCTAGAGATCGGAGCAACCGTCGCTGGTGGTAAATCTATCTAGTCACAGAAAATCTATCATTTTGCTCATCAAGCATACAGGTCGGAGCAACTCGTGCATCGATAAGGCTGGTGCTTTGGCGGTCGCACTTAGCTCGATAGTCTTTGCGACTACGCTTCATGCGCAAGACTTCAAGGACGAAGAGGGCGATCGCCTCACTGGCAGGCACACGCTACCCACGATCTTCCCCAAAGCCGCACGCTTTTCAATGATGTTCGGTCTTCCCCTCTGGTCGTATGCCTTGAGTCGTATCTGGAAGATAGATGCGCTCTCTACCACTGCATTTGTACTTTACGGCGCATTTGTAGGAATCCGGTTCGTGATGTACAACACGGTAGGCGCCGATAAGCAGTCCTGCAAATTTTATAGTGTGAGTTAAAATATTGCTTGGGAGCACACCGAGTGAAGCTGAAAATGGGTTCATATCAGCTGTGGTACGCGCTCGCTCATCTGCTTCCAGGTTACTGGCGTTTCTTCTATGGTGTTTGAGTATCTGGAGCTGAAAGTCACATTTGTCCCGTTCTAACTTCTAATGATTAATGATATACTACTTAATAGCCTAAATGTTACTATCAAAGGTGAAGAGACTCGGACTAGAGAAACTAAGGGCGAGAACAGAACTCAGTCTTGGTTCAAAAAGACTGCTAGGGTAACTATGGACCATACCTAAGGGCGAGAACAGAACTAGTAGAGTAGTAGTTAGTAAGAGTAGAGTAGGGATGTCAATAAGATAGCTCACCTCAGTCTTGGTTCAAAAAGACTGAGGGAGATTGTTCGACGAGAGGAGGAATTAATACGTTTGATTGGGACGGAGAGTCAATAGGAAACGTGTATGACGCATGGTAGGAGGAGTGTTCGTGTATGTAAAATGAAAAGGCTAAGTACGTGTAAGGGTCATATCTTGATACTCCCACTCGAACGCAAAACGCTAGAGACGCGGGCGTGCTCATTCAACTGGGTCTTCGTTTGACGATGAACGAAGAGCAAGCGAGTGTCGATGGTTGCGGAAAAGTTTTCGTGGTAGGGATTTCGTGAAGATGTCGGCAATCATATCATGTGTGGGTACATAGGGAATGATGATGGTGCCGTCGCTGACCAGATCTCGAACGAAGTGATAGCGGACGCGAATGTGCTTGGCCCGGTCGTGGAATTGAGGGTTTTTCGTTAGTGCGCGACTTCCATTGTTATCACCATATAACGTGGTGGGGGTGATCAGCGAGAGGTCAAGACCAAAATCGCATAGCAGCTGGCTGAGATGGATCTGTTCGCGGGCCGCGTTAGAGAGTGAGATGTATTCAGCTTCAGTAGACGAAGTCGCAACGACGGATTGCTTTGGGAAGGTCAAAGATACGGCCCATGAGGCTCGTAAAGCGGATGCCAACAGACGCCTGATACTTGTCTTCTAGCGCTTTCCAGATGACGGCTGGATCAGTGACACCCATGAAGTGGATGAGGTCACTTGAGTGTACCGTCATACCAAGGAGTCCTTTGGTTATGCTTTGGCGTTCTCGGAAAGAAATGACGTCCGCGCTCGCATCATGTGCCGCGAGGCGTTTGTTGAAGTCAGCCTCAGTCTCAGTGGTGCTTCTGGTTGGGCGCGGAGGACCCTTCTCATCTCCTGAAAGGAGGCGCCAAAGGTTGAAGAGCGAGAGCCAAAGGTCCATGGTCGTTACCCACGAGGTGTAGTTGGAGCCATTGGCGTCCAGAGGAGGGTGAGGAAAAGATGTTGGAATCCGGATGTTGGACGACGATATGGTGGACATGACAGGTGTCGAACGATGTGTCGGCGATGGCGACAATAGAATGGGAAGATTCAATGGGTGTGGTAACGAGCGAGTTGGTACGACAGGCGTTAATGGCGGCGATGGCGGCAAGGGAATGGATAAGATCCGCAGGTCAAGCGGGGATAGAGGGCGACCTTGTTCCAGTTCGGAAAAGGTCGGAGAGGCTCAGATAAGGCGAGTGGAAGCGAGAAACGAATGTATGCCTAGTCTGAGCCAGGGCTCATAACCTATCAAAGGTGAAGAGACTCGGACTAGAGAAACTAAGGGCGAGAACAGAACTCAGTCTTGGTTCAAAAAGACTGCTAGGGTAACTATGGACCATACCTAAGGGCGAGAACAGAACTAGTAGAGTAGTAGTTAGTAAGAGTAGAGTAGGGATGTCAATAAGATAGCTCACCTCAGTCTTGGTTCAAAAAGACTGAGGGAGATTGTTCGACGAGAGGAGGAATTAATACGTTTGATTGGGACGGAGAGTCAATAGGAAACGTGTATGACGCATGGTAGGAGGAGTGTTCGTGTATGTAAAATGAAAAGGCTAAGTACGTGTAAGGGTCATATCTTGATAGTTACATCACACAAAAAATTCAAAACTAGTCAAGAAGCTTCTGACGGCCGGTTGATCGTAAGTCCACACGACTCAGCAGGCCAGATCTCGTGCTTATATAATGACCAAGTCGACTTAAAAACCGTCCATCACACGCCACTCATCTTTTTCTCTAATCATCCACATAACTAGACGCTTAAAACCACTGGAGTTCACTTCTCTTCAGTTGACCTGCAGGTATGGGAACCAACGGACACTACGTGGTCCGCTATCGGAACATGTATTATCTTTCACACCACGGTAGTGATGGTTATCCAGAGGGGCTTGGCTTAAAGGTGCTTCAGTATATACGGCAGCCCAATGCCATCGCGACCTATCAGAAAGTGTTTGGAGAGATGCTGGACGGGTTGAAGAGCCCTTCGCATTCTCTATTACTGATAGAAGGTGGTGATGAAAATTTCGATGGGCCCTCCCAGCTGCGGCCAGAAACTTGTGGCTGGACCTACGAGATTGATCTTGATCGCAATATCTTCCATGTGTGCGACATGCCTTTTTTCTCCTTGGAATGTCTCCCAGATGACGCCGTTTTTCTCCAATACATCTCCGATGATGGCATCACTCGAGATCATTACGGCCACGCAGCTTGCCCGTTAGAATGTCCCCCGGAGAACAGATACAAAAAGCCAACACCGCCAATTGTCCACAATTCTGAACTCGAGACGTACCAGTCTTTGATGTGCACCGGATCTCAAGTGGCTCTGAGTGATCTGCTCGCCGTCAGTGACGGACTTTCTCAAGACGAGCACGTTCGGGTCACATTGCTAGAAGTCATGATTGGGCAGTGCATGTTTAGCTCAGCCATTGGCAAGGAAATCTACGAAATAGAGCTTTTAAACGACCACAACCAGATCACGGACGATCAATGGTCAATTGCATGCTTCATGGCCAGCATTACATTTATTCCTCAGATGTTCGACGACAGTACAGTGCATTTGCCATCCCAATGCTGAAAAGAAAGGAGTTCACGTGGGTTCGCGAAGACACTGTTGTCTACATCGCAACACATCTATATGACGAGCGATGCCTACAGGCTTCCGTGTCACGTCTGATCAACGTGATCTTGGAGCAGACGAATCATTCTGGTCATTACTTTGGAATCGCGTTTTCTGTCTTCCATTGTGCAGTCGTCAAAGTCGTCAAAAACGCACACACGATGTCATTCAGCCACACGAGCGCCCTCCAATTTTTACCATCATTCTACGCAGATTCACCTTCTACGCCAGGCATCACTGCTCTCGCCCGTCTTGGATATCGCATCGACCCCGCACTCTTTCGGCGTGCTTTGGAGGCTTGTCATTATGTGCGGTACATTCACCTGAAGGAATCCCTCGTCCAGAGAGCTGATAGAAGTGACGATATGCCACCCACCACCATCTGTCCAACGCTGCCTCTTGAACTTTGGCGAGAGATCGCCTGTTATCTCACTCATCCCTTTCACCTCATCGTCCTCGGATTGGTCTCAAGACTGTGCCGTCAAGCAGTCTCGATGGTACTCCGCTGTACCCACCTCTGTGGCTATCGCCTGGTCTCCGCTCCCCAAGAGAGACCAGAGTATAGGAAGGAAAACCTCTCGCTACGGGCAGCATCTTTTTCCGCTGTACGAAACGGCATTCCTACTACGGTGAATGTTGGAGTGACTGGGATGCTTAATGATCGACTACCAGAGCAGCGCATGATTATTCCCCTCGAAATCAAAAATTCCTATTTTCATCTTACCCTTTCAGCCGATCCTTGACCCCGCCAGGGATGAAAAGCTTCTCTGAATAGAAAAACAAAGCTCTCGCGATGTTTAGCACGCTGCTATCGCTGATCCGGCAGCACACATGGGTTTCCTGACCTTCTCATAGACTACAGTCCACTTAGTAAGATAGTGCAATCAATTGATTGTGTCCTCGAATCACAGCAAAGACGTGTGCTACAGTTATGCCAGTGTATACAGAATATCACGCATCAATGCCGTCACTATGAACGGGTGCGTGATTTCTAAATTCTCTCTTAAATTTAGGCCTACTCACTAGTACTAAACCACTGGTTCCTCTGAGTCAACCATTATTTGTCACACAACTCGTGATAATTTGAGTTGAATTTGAGTATATGTAAATCATGTCCTATTAGCCTAGCTTGTGATCACAATGTCTGGACAAAGTAACAAGAACAAGAACGAGCGTGCAAAAGCAGAAGTACCAGACCAACTACGCTTGCGCGACAAGACCTTCATCACAGGGAATAAGCTCTGGTGATAAGAAAGAAGAACGTGCCATATCAAAAGAAAGTCCATGTAGGCGTGAGGGCGTTACAAAAATCATCATTGCGCGGGGAACATGTGTTGTGATGGAAGTCACCCGCGCCTTCGTGAAGTGTTGAGAGAAAATTGCATATGTGAGAAATGATGTTCGATGCGAAATGTGTTAGAAAGCGATCATGATACATGCGAACTTCCCTCTACAGGGAGGGACACGTTCTGACTCAGCCGAGGAGTCATAAGCTCAGCAGCTACCTCCTTCACTCTGCTGGCGCTCAGAGGAGTCGATGGTCTTGTTGACGGTGGACTCGGCAATGCAGCAGCAGTTGTATGTGCCCTCGTTCGGATAAATGACCTGTAAACCAAGATATACTTAGGTATAAGGGCGAGTACGACAGCACTCACGTTCCAATTTTGATCAGTTCGCTCAGGTGTGCGTGTTTCTTAGCCTCCATCATGTACATGGTCGTATGCAAAATCCCATCTACGCCTTCTACGTACAATGCAATTTGTTCGAGAGTCGGGTTTTTAGAGATGGTGAGGAACAAGTCGTTCCATATCGCCGGTAGTTGCCCTTTAAGACTGCGTAGCTTGGGGGCATGGCTCAGAGCCTTGGCCAAAGGCCTGGTGGCTGGTGTCGAACTGATTTTGAGAGCGTAGTGAACGGACTCCTGAGAACATTACGAATCAGTATGCAGTGACCGAGACGGAAAATAGAGGCTCGTACAAGGTTAAACCAGCCGGGTACAGCTTTTGCAATGCGCTCAAGAAGGTATTTTGGGCGCGTAAGTGTGAGATAAGCATCTGAAGTTCTGCGAATGGTAAGATGCTTCAAGTCTATTTGGTCTAGTGCGTCGCATAGGGCTTGGGCATCCTGATCATCTGCTGCATCTCCCTGAGGATTAGCTTCGTAAACATCTATACAAATATCCACATCTTCGATCCTTTCACACGCCCGAAGTACACGAGCGCCCTCCAGTGACACGCAGCCCAGCACAACACGATGTACTGCACCAGCAAGGACCGGCTGGGCGACAAGCGTCTCGAGTACGCGGGCAGCATGAGCAGCCGTCGGAAGGTGGAGGGTCTGATAATATATGGGAGTACCGATACGGAGGAACTGCCGGGAAACAAGCAAGGGCGAAAATCGGGCACGTGTACTGGTGTGGGGTGTTGGACGGGCTAAGGATGAGGGACATGGAAAGAATATTGGTTGGATGTGCCAAGGTGGACGAACTGGGAATACTTGGGGAGGAATTACACAATACGCAATTATACGAGCGAGAAGCTCTTCTGGGAATGAAGATAGCGAGGTAGGAACCTGTGTAGACGCCATTTATTGCTCGAAGCTTGAAAGTTTAACAGACGACTTGCTCGCGAGCTTTTTGTTGATGTGGTACTTCAGTCCAAGACTGCAAAGTTGACTGATTGCAAAACAGTCTAACAGACTATATATAGGCCCGCTTCATCGCGGAATTGTAAGCGTTGTTCGAATATCATTGCATTATCGACCCTGTCAGGCTTTTACATACGAATTCGTCTCTCCAGGCAGACCATAATAGCTGAAGCGCTGACGAGCGAAGACAATAAGTACTCCATTCTTACATTGCTAAATCTACCATAGCACTAACACTTCATGTGCACGCAGCACGTCAAATCAAGGCTCTGCAAGTTAATGCAGCTTGTCACTTTACAGCCAGCGCGACAATAGCAACCAACCTTCGCGAAAGTAAAATTGAGCCTGTTCTTCTTCGCATCTACTGCAAAGCCAACTTAGTGTAACGCATCGGATCATGAGAGCTTCAGATTGACAAATAGCGCGTCGCTGTCAAGGGTCAGATTTCCGCCCTGGCTCGCAGCCGGTAAATTGGTGCTGACTGTCCATGGATAGGTGAACAGATGTTAGGTACATGATTTACCCGCTAAATATTAGGCTTCAGCCGCGCTGCACTCGCGAAATTGTCGGGAAAATGATTTAGTTGGCCTGTCATAGAAGCCTGGCTCATTGAAGTATGCGCAATCGACCAATAAAACGTGCGTCGAAATGCACTGCCATGGGCTCGCATTTCATATTGTCACAACGCATCAGGTTCTCTACGCCTTCAGCCGAAATCTGGGCCATGGTTAACTTCCTGGCGGTACTAGAGGGGCAGGATATTGCAGTCCGGACATATTCGCCATCTGCTGCCGAAACAATTCTTTCTTTGTTAGGCTATACTCCACGAGCTGCCAAAATACCGTATGGGATAGCAATTCGGTGTGCTGAGACAAAGACAACGGTGAGGTTGCCGAAAAAGCTTGAGAACTGTGGTTTTTCTGATTTCATGCTACCCGTACATCTCACCATCCTGCGTTACAAACTTTCTTCCATACATCACAACTGATGGATAATCACACAAGCATTCGATGCGACGAGTTACAGCAACAGCAACCAGACCTCCTTGCATCCTGACACACCTCAACACACCTCTGTGAATACCCAGTACTTCCTCGTAGTCCTGAACACCCGGGGGAGGAGCCGGAGCGGTAACGATCTAGAACGACATCAGTTATAAAGCCTCTTTGAAAATCACAACAAACAAACCGGGGTCCAGTCTTTGCCTTTATTGAGGAGCCACACTTCGTTGACGTTCATGATATGGATTCTGCAGATGAAGGAGGCGAATGAATTCTCAGTTACCAGCAACAATTGATCATACCCACGTATATTTTCCGTCGCCTCTCGGTGGAGAACTGGAGCACCTGGGATTCGGCGCTGCCTACGACGTGACCTGTCTATCATTTTCACGCCGTTAGGAATCTCTTGCATATCAACACAAGATGAACAAACCTCATTATCGATGACAATATACTGGTTCCTCAATTTATCAAAAAGAGTCGCGAGACCCATAGCTGCGTCCGTGACATGGAGCTGGATCTATGGGCATTGATGAATATAGAATCCACGCCAACGATGCAATGCGTACAATGTCAGCCTCCTCATAGCCAACAACTGTGCCGTCAGCTTTCATGTGGATAAACCTGTCGGTATGCAGAAAATTCTGAATTTTGTAATCGCCAGAAGGTAGCATGGTATGAGATGTGTTGATAGTTGATTCTGCTGAGTATTGAGTGAGAGATAGATGCTGATAGAGATTAATGGCAGGATAAGTTGCGACCTTTATACCTGCCTGAAGGCTGCGTTACGCTCCAGATGCTGATATGAACATCGCCCATCGCCTGAGTCCCGGTCTCGAGTGGCGGCTCTGGAATATCATGTGCCAGATTCCATTCTAGCCTTCTTCATTAAAGCGCAAGGGGCATGTTCATTATTGACCCAGTACTGTTTCCGTATGTCGACCATGATTCTTGATCGCTCTTCTTACCGCACGATCTCTATAAGGCTACGACACAGGTGTTAGCCTGTCAGAGGTGATGTCATTTTCCATCCAGGCTGTCATGGCCCGAACACTGTGCAGCGGTTGCTTAAGATGAAAAGGAGCCTGGCCGTATATGACGCCGTTCAGTGACGTGTTTTGCGTCATCAGTACTTGAATTTCAGAAATGGTCCCGATTTTAACTCGCCGCGTCAGTACACGAGGTTGGTGGGGGAGCAACGGCACCAGCCCACATGTTTACAGTTCGATTGCGATTCGAACCAAGTTCGAGCAATTCAACGACAACCAACATGCAAGATGCAAGATGGGCCCGCAAAGTTAGGGAGCGTCTTAGTGGTATGATTCCTAATAGAAATCTAGAGATTGGCGGAGCGAGAGGGGGGCGTCCTTTCGTGACCATGTTGGATCTAGCACAGAAAACCTGAGGTCCAGATCTTAGAAAAAAACGGAGTAGTAATAGTGATGAGTTAAACGTGGATACCTGACACGGTGAAGACCCTGTCAGTATCCAATTGCTTGACATCTATGAACGAGACCTACCGATAGCATAGTCCCAGCGCCAACGATCTTCTGACCTGGATGCAAATAGTATCAGACTTTTCGAACCGCGGTAGTAGTGGCACACCAGTATCATGATGCACGCTGCACAAACTTGCTCGGACTTGCTCGGAAGCACCTTGTCATTAACTTCGACGTTGTTTGCCAAAAGCCTTGGGTCCAACGGATTCAATGGTACGCACTATTTCAAATTGGCAGACGTCACGTGCATTTCTGCTCTGCAATATCATACACCGTCTGTGAATTGTCGATGGGTTCGCCTAGACCTTTCAAATAACTCCAAAACACTATATGTTAAATAAATACCACGACGTATATAAGGCTGATGCTGAGTCCGAAGAGGGAATTGCGAAGCTCGCTGTGATAGGACTGTCTTAGGATCTGACGCAGGACTCGTGGTGGGGAAAGCAACCAATGTTCAAAGTAAGCGTACAAGGCCGTTTTTTAAGTACACGAGAGTAAGGGTCCTTGTTTACGAAAGTGAAGTTTTCAGGGAGACAGAGAGTGGTGGCGTTGAGCCTGACAGGGTAAAAGTAACGGAAATGAGTGAATGTATGTTAGTTTTGAATAAAAGATAGTAATAGGCAGCTCGCCGTGCACAGGAATGACGAGAAGCATTTGGTGTTTGACTGTTTTTGGGGCGAAGGAATGAAACTAAGCTGAAATGACGAGAGATGGTTTGGTGATAAGTCCAGGGTATAGTTATGAATAAGGGTGAAAGACCGAGCTCGTCGTTGAGCATAACGAGAGGGTGAAGGTAAGGAAAGAGAATGTGTCCGCGTGACTCGGACGCGAAGCGTGATGCTTGTTCGCGTCAATGAGTCACGCGGATGTCGGACATAAGTCCTGAATTTTATTATGAAGCGTTAGTCGGGGTGCAGAGGATATGGAATCCTTACACGTATTCTCGACCAGATTCCTCGACCCGATTTCCCATCCCTGCAGACCACTCGGCAAGTATGTTCCTACACAGTACTGCTAGTTGATACATGTACACGCTCCTGGAAGACAATCAAATCCATAATAGTTTCTGCGTCAGAGTCGGCCGCGAATTTGGCATGATATTCTCGAACGCTAAGGATGAGACGTGGTCCCAGCACAAACATCTGCATCCCAAATAATACTTGAAGAGAATCGACGAGTATATGAGCTCCAATAGAAGTCGAATGCTACAGAAATGATGAGCAGTGGTTACTAGCAGATGTCAGCGACAGGTCGGCGCACCGAGATTCCTGGAGAAAGAACCACAAGCTCAAGGCAGGAGACACAAACAAAGCTAGCACGTGCGGAACTTGAGAAAAAGATAAGCACATTCACATTCAAGCTTACCTGATAAAATATAGCACATGGGATTTTATCAGCGCTCTGAAACAGTCCCTGATGGTCGATGTTGTCGATGGGCAGGGTTGTCGCAGGTCACGGAAGTGTTTCACAGCAATCCAGACTGAAAGACACAGTGCGAGGACCTCCCAAACAGTGTTGAGCACCCAAATTATTGAGTTCAAAAGCTCGGCATCCCCTTCAACTGCATAACTGCACATATACATGCCAGAGAGTATCAACTCCTCTAGTGTTCGTTCAATGAGCTGTGTTCTTCAAGTCGACAAGTAAAGTTTACCCGCTAGAGAATCTTTGAACCCTATTGCCGCGATGACTCCGCAGGCGATGTTGACCGCCAGAAAGATAACAACAAGGAAGATAAGCATCATTCTAGATCCCTGATACATGGCATACAACCGAGCAATCATGATGGCTTGCATCATGTTTCAGTTAGATCAATATCACTGACTCGGAGGCAGCTGGGTAACTCACCGCCCAACATGGCAAATATAACCAGATTCGTCAAATTTCCTGTGTAGAACATAATATAGCCTAAAACACCCGATTAGTGATGACCTCGTACTAGGATCAAACACTCCAACTCACACCTGTGTAGTCATTACGTTGAGCCAAGTTCAATATTCAGAATCTCACTCACCCCTACACATGAATGTATTCATTAGATGGGAATAAGATGGTTCTGAAATACTCACTGCATCTGTCAGTGAGACCGATGGCATAAATGCTGCGCGCCACCAGTCAGAAAAACCGAACACAACACAGATGAAACATACCCAGAACGGCGACACTGATAATGAGAGAGCTATCAGTACAGCGCCAATATGTTAGCCTGGACACATACACAGAATATGGTATTCCAGTATAGCGTATCTAGAATATTTTGGAGTCAGCAGGACTGCCAACTACGGCATAGCACAACATGAGGTACGAACAACCAAATACAACACAGTCATGAGAGACCAGTGTTGCTTCTGTCGCGAATTCATTGTATTCTCCTTTTTTGTCTGATACGGGACACTTATCACTCACCCAAATCAGTTCAATCTACGACACCATTCTTAGCGAGTTGGCTGCTCCGATAATAACATTGACCTACCTCTTGTCCAATTGTCAGTACTGCAAATATCATAAGAATATCAGCGGTTTAAAATACTGTCCTGCTCACCCCAATCGTAAACTACCATGACGCCGGCGGCAACTGCGAAGCCGCAAATCAATGTTAGATCTAGAAACATCACCAACCGATATGACTAACCCGCCCAATAGCAGTAAAACAAATCTGAATCGATTATCGGCCACCAACTGGGGTCATTTGAGACTATGGTCATATTCGAGGGACGGTGTGAGTGAGTGGAGAATTTAGCGGGGTATACCGATAGTGTTCGCGCTGGATATAGCACCGTTCAGCGCTTCTATGGCCAAAATCTGCATGATGGAGATGGATATTTGATCCCGCCTCAAGACCCTTGATTAATGATTGGGTGAAATGGTGCGAAATGAAGTACAACGCGTAACCTAGCCTTCGATTGAATAACTAGTATTCCGCACGTGACTACTTGAACACCAGGAAAGTTCCAGTTGTTGGCGATGTTGGTAACTTATTTCCAACGCAATTTTCGACGTGTTCCGTATGCAACCATGTATCCAATGATCTAACACAGGTCCAAGCGTGATGTGATCGCAACACACATTTGCACTTTCTCCGCTTCGTTGGTCAGCTGGTCAAGCGGCTCCCCCGATTACACTTTGTGACGAGGTCGCATTCTGTGGCACAAAGTGAGACAAGAAAAACATCAACGCGTTCTGTTCGGTGCATCTGATCATACACTTGATGTGACGGTGATGTGTTGGACTGGCAGATACATCATGATTCATGCTGTGTGATTGATAACTGTTAGATATAAGACGCCATCCACACTAGGCCAAAACAGGAACCGCAGATGGGAGACAAGAAGCCTGTAACACGAAAGAAGCACAATTTCTGATTGTCCAGGCTCGCGTCGATAGCGATTGTGTTTCAATGATTTTTTTCAGTCCCGACTTGAGCCAAAGCCGGTAAAGGTATCAAAATGCAGGAACGGCTTATCGATTCCACCTGATTGTGTCGTCAGGATCATCTACAGACTATACAATATGGACTGACGCAAACCACTGACCTTCGGGGCGTCCTGGAGTGAGTTTGGGTTTGCACCAAGCTCGTCAAGGGTCAGATCTAGATTGAAATAGTCGAAACGTTCGTGGTCCTGGTTCTGTTATTCCTTTTGAGATCTGATGGGGTGGCATTTATTTCAGGATAGGCAAATAGATTTGGAGTCGGAGAAGAGTCATATGAGCGACTCGCAACCGTCATCTCTTCCAGCGAAGGTTCTCGATGGGAGACACTAAAGCTTGAGCTGGCATCGACCATACAAAATAACTTGAAGCTTGATTTGATACGTGTTGACCGGCGCCATGCCACATGCATCCGACTTATCGTGGGGACCCTGTATTACGAATTGGATTATTTGTGTTTTGCTGTATACAACAGGCACCAGCGCTTAGTAAATCGTCCTCAACCTCCTTATAGGGGGACTCACAGAGACTCGAGCATAGGATTGTCCATGAGGTGTTAAAGGACATGAATACGAAAAAGGAAGACAGAATGGTGCTGAGGCTGAGAGTGTTACACATGCCAACCGTGCTTCAAATGCTTGGGGTGGATGTTAACGCTGTCAGTGCACGACGTAGTAGGGTGATGTGGCGCAGGTCCTCAGGAGCGCCAGGTATCTTGGCGAAGTAGCAAGAGTCCTGACTCTACGGTAGTCAGGTAGTCCTGCGCTGTGTCGTATTCAGTCCTGGATGGATAGAGCCGCAGCCTCCTGCTATGGATGGTATCCCTTGCAGTCTGTGCCCAGAACGAAACACTGACAGTCACTAGCTAGTATTGTTCTCAAGTCCGTCCACCCTACCCACCTTGCGGGAAACGCGAATCGCACGGAGGATGGATAGTTGCTAAATTCATCGTGAATCTGCCGTTTCTCAGCCGGCAAGGCCGGCCGTGGTTGTGAATCGAGCAGTTAGGATGGTATTTGCCTTTCATCTAACTTTGATCGGAGTGCAATATCTGTACATCGTTGACGAGGGCCAAAGCTCGAAATTTCAGATTACAGTTAGTGTTGTTGGCAGAATGCTGCCATTCTGCCAGTGGCAATTGCCAAGCGGCAATTGCCGGCAGTAGGTCAAGGGTGGTTGGCAGAAGTCGGCAGAAATATGCTGAACTAGTATTTGTTCCTACTAAAAAACAATAAAAATATGACATGTGGCCTAGAAGCCCAAGGGCCATTCTGTCCAAAAAATTGTGTCCAACCACTTTGTTAGTAGTTACTGGGGAGAAAGTCAAAATTTGGTCAAAAACAACTCAAATCACTACTTTTTCACATGCAACTGCTGCTCAGCACAACAGCATCCATCTAATTGACTGAAAAATATGATCATCGGGCATGCTCATGCCTAGTGTGGCTCACTACAAAAAATGCAATCAAGGCTGAATTCTATCAATTCTATCCCCGGATCTATTGCTTCTGCAACTTCCAAGTCGACTCAAAGGTCGTTTGCATGGATTCCTCCCCTTGCAGCAGACTCTGATCACCAGGATTGACCAACTGTCAGAAAATGATGGGGCAGAAGGTATCCACGGTGCCAACTGGCTTCGTTGAAGAGATCAATGTACTCAATCAAAGCTCAGAGAGTGCATCAGGGTATGATATTGATGCACTTTTGACTCATGAGTATAGCTTAGTGTAGTACTCAAAACCATTTTTGCCATAGTACAAACATAGTTGAAAAGAGCTAAAAACGCTCACAATACATTTTGCCGACTTTTGCCATTCTGCCAATTGCCATTCTGCCGTTCTGCCATCTGCCAAGAGGCCAATTCCTTTCTGCCCACGACACTAATTACAGTGCGGTTGAGGTTTGTTTATTTGCATCTATTTGTGTCCGTCGACATCCCGTTGATCAATGACATGGCATCTATGAACGAGACCTGCCCATAGCATAGTCCCGGCGACAACGATCTTCTGATCTGGATGCAAATGATATCAGACTTTCCGGACTGCGGTACACCGATATCGTGATGCACACAGCACGTTCCACAAACTTGTTCGGAAGCACCTTTAACTTCAACGTCGTTTGCCTAAGGCCTTGAATCCAAACTTGAAACAACCGGATGTAGTGCACAATATTCCAAATTGACAGGTCACATCCATTCAACCATTTTGCTGATGCTGGCTCTAGACATGGGTCCTTAGATGTCATACTCGATCTTGGCCGCGGCCGAAACATAGTGAAGTTGAGGTGCTTACACGACGGCAGGGGAGGATAGGGCGGAAATACCGAAGGAGAGTGCACCACGCCATGATTGACAAACTTCCTCAGGAGTTGACCAAATGCTATGTCTAACGCCACCTGCGCCCATCGAAGGAAGTTGGTAAGAAGTCTGTCCCCAGCATTTATCCCGGTGACTGATCAACTTGAAGCGATGCTAACATCATCTTGCTGGTCACATGGCGCAATATCTCCCAATAAGGGACAATCAAGCGGGACTCGCGGGTGCTTAGTTGTCACCCACTAAAGCGAGTGGGAGGACACGGAGAGCAGATAACAATAACACCAGCGTGAGTTGGTAGAAGTGGCACATTTCTGGCAGGCGAACACTCGAACATCTCACTGACTAACCACGGAAAGTCACAAACACGTCTTACATACATCACGACCGCGAGCTAATCATACAAGTATTCTATGACGGATGAACCAGAGCACCAGCAGCTGGCGGCTGCCACTTAGGTCTCCTTTCATTTCAAAACACCTATCACAGCGGTACGAACGACCAATACTTCTTGTTTGAGTCGGGAGCTGGCTCAACACTGATCTGGATGGACGTTGATCATCAATAAAACCAAAAAAAGGTCAGCGATAGAAACGAACCGGGGTCTCGATGACGTCGTTGTCGAGAACCCAGACTTTATCCTGGTCCTGTGGATGGATCCTGCGGACAAAGGTGATGAATGATCCTGGATACAGCTGGGACCAGAGACTGCACTCACAGATAACCATTGCCGGCAGCGGACAACTGGAGCACCTGGGGATCCTCGTAGGCTACGACTCTGTTTTTCTACGATTTCACGCTGTTAGCAACCTCGCGTATGTCAACACCAGACAGACCAACCTCTAAATCGATACCGATGTACACACCTACTGAACCATCATAGAGTGTCACAAGACCTTTAACGTTGTCTATGATGTCGACTTGGATCTACGGGCATTGATGAGCACGGGAAGCGCGTTGCTATGATGATGCACGCGTACTATGTTGCCATTGTCCTGGCCGACGAACTGCTTGTTGTCTGACATGGAGACGTACCGGTATGGATACGCGACATTGGCGATCCTGAATCGTCCAGAGGGGGTGTCGCTCATGGTTGATTGAATATTCTGTTGGATACTGGTTGAGAGAGGGTTGTTGGTGAAAACTGACGACAGCCTGAGGGTACGCCGCGACCTTTATATCTACCTGGCTGAAAGCTGCATCACCGCGACCAGTTCCAGATAGGCCAATCTGAGTTTGGTCTTGGGGCCACAACTCGCTTAGCTTTCGGCACTGATGAAAGACCGGATTCCATTGGAGGCAAGTTCTTCTGATGCGAGGTGCGTCAAATGCTTCCAAACCTGCTGCGCGAGACGCTGACCTACGTCATTGACCTAATCACTCCTCGGGTCGCTTCCGGTTCATTGTTCTTGTACATTCCTAGACGTTGAACAACTCCTTCTTACCTCGCCGCTGATCCCCATTTCGAATAAGGCTACCAGCAGAGTGGCCAGTCTCCTGTTACTCATCCGAAAATTCTCGGCTCCCAGAAATGTTGCGTCAATTCGAGGTACGAGCATTGCTACTTCAAGCCTATGCAAGACCCCAAGGAACTCATCTTCGTTAGCTATTCTTTGGCTGATCCCGTGTCTCTTGCTACACTATACCCGCTGTTGGTAAGTTGCTCACCCCTCTGACTATCCACATACATTCCAAGTTAGTTTCACACCCTCGTTCGACAAAACTCATCTCCCTGTCAAATTCTAGTGTATTCAACTACCCGCTGTTCACACTGCTCAAATCACAAACACGCTGTCAACCTATCACCCATCATGGTTTGGCCTCCAACATCAATCATGTGAACGCCTCAACGCTGTCTCCTATGAAGGATCATCGATCTTTATTAAAATACTTATATTTATAACACCACACAAGTACGTTAATAAAATATGCTCCGCTGAGCATTGTATGACTCAGATCTACCAAGTATTCTACACCTTCATGCAAGGTACTTAATAAAAGATGGGAAACCTAGAAGCAAATGTGGTCTCTGTCAATAATCTTGTTTGTTTTATTGTTCCAAATGATTCCTGGGTAACAGGGGTCCTCGAATATTGGCACACAGTGTCAGTTTGAATAGTGATTAATTTGCTTACACCTTGAAGCTTGGAGCGGTGCACTGGTGATGAGTGACTTCGAAATTGTTTGGCTCCCACAACAAGGTAAGAGCAAAAACTCAGTGAAGACCTTGCTTACTGCATGGACCTTACATCAGTAAACTCACACACTCTGTACAGAGCTGTACAAGCCCACACAGCGTGCCAGGCCTACAGCCTGGTCCCCTTGTGACAGACAGCAGATTTCCAAAAGTGATTTGGACAGTACTGTACAATTGCTCACAGACATCACAGAATGTCCTGCATGCCCACAACTCGGACACTGGCAGTTGCTGAATGTTTGTAAATTACCTTCCCCCAGTGCTTCCCAGTCCCATAGAGTAGCAGTAGTACACACTCACACCATCACAAGGAGTTCCAAATAAATCTGATCATATTGTGCTGACAGAAATGATGCTGTAAACAAACACGGCCCAGCTGGCCAACATGCAGTAGTAATAGTATCCGAGCGACGACGAGAAAAACACGACAAAACTAATCAAGTACCACCTTCAAGTGAGTGCGCTTCATCTCCAAGCTGCCACGAGAGTCAACCTTGAGGCTTTCCAACCTGCTGTTGGATAAATACGATCAGTGTCATAGAAAATGGATATAAAAATACTCACCAGCCATATGCTGCCCACTCCTGGAGCTGCTTTACCAGTTTTGGGCCATGATACGCATCCTCCAAAATGACGCCCATAATCTCCAGCATCTCGTATTCGGTTTTGTACTCCTTTGCGGTGAATTTTGGAAAGACCTTGCCGGTACCGTTCTTTTCGAAGCCAAGGAGACCACAGTCATACTGCAAATATTGAGTCAGTAACCTTGATATTTAACTTGAGTAAATAATACTGCAGTGGCAATGAGAGCCAAGCATGACAAAGGCAGCTGTGTGCAAAATATTTCTGGCCTTCGCTGAGCAATTCTGTAAGGTCCGGTATAATAAAATAACACAACAGCTTCTTGAAGCGCAGGACTTGCGAAGTTGTTTGCCCTTACCTACAGTACGGTAGCCTTGCCCTTAACCCTTTCCACTTAGTATAAGTAGTCGGTCACTCTGTACTAGATTCCCTAACTTGAATCTACTCAATCTTCCCTCGAACATACTTCCCTCTGAAGCCCCCTCAGCTTCAGTCTCTAGTATCTTTTCTTAGGTGCTCATCGCGCCTAAGTCTACCTCGATCGACCACCTCATCGTTCGGACAAGACTGTCCTTACTTTGAGAACGTCAGTGACTTTGAAGACATCCGTCTTAGAAGTCACGTGACACGCGCGTCTCTGATATCTGCCGACTCGACGTCGCCAGTCTCAGTCGCTACACCGGACCCTTCCGGTTACGTCACGAACGTTAGCGGACGACGCCCCTCTTAGGGCTCCGCATAACAGAACTATTTGAGTGCATAACAGTTAGTCTTTCCCTGTTCAAATCATACATCAGCACAGTGAGGGGTGAAACAGGGAAATAAAAATAAAAACATTGGCATCAAGTCCACCTTGTAGGAACAGAGAATCTTTGTGCTGCCTTGATGCTTTGTGTGAGACCCATGCTGGCTGTTCCAGGGCAGGTACCTCAGCAGGGGGAACAAGTCCCAATATTCTTGGGGCAAGGAAAATCACGACCTTCTTCAATTCAGACCGCCAAGTTGCGAGATCGTCATAGAGCTGTGATTATATGGTGTGAGCATGCTTGTAATGATGGAGAAATACTTACCAGCCTTCTGGTGTTTCTTGAGTACATCATCTACCTTCGGTTGTGTTAGCATGAGATTAGCAGCTGCATCATCTTGACGTAAGTTCTGAACATGTGGCTGCAACTGCACCGAGGCGAGACTAGCCGCTGCACCATCTTCATCTTCGTCGCGTGAGTACTGAAAGTCAAAGTTGGGTGTCAAAGGACGTGGATGTGAAAGTGGCTGAGGTGGTTGTTCCTGCGAAAATCATGTACATATAATAAGAATCAGTGACATACATAAAATGTGAAGGGCGCAACCTGGATGAGTTGTGTGGCGTCCACGAACCGCTCCCCATCCAACAATATCATCTTCACCAGCATCTTTGACCCCTTCTTCAGTATAATGGTCATCATCTCCTGATCTCAAATTTTTGCTGATCTACGTACCATGTGGTGGTATAACTAGTACAAATGCCATCATCTTATGTCCACCAAGTTCGCCTCTCACCCACACCTATTCTCTACCAATATGGCCGTAGTCTCAGATGATCCCACTTGGTGGTCGACCATCAATGCATATAGTTTGTGCAGCTATTTTATAGGTTCGTGGAGGGTAGTTGGATGTTAAAGTTGACTCAATCTAACCTTGGCTGTAGTTTAGTCGCTGCCTTTGTTGCAGTCATGTATGATTGGTGTGAGCATGATAACATTAAAGACTGCTGACATCTTACAATTATTTTCAGCACTCATTAGCATCACAGAGGGAACCCCTTCTCCACGATCACAGAAAGGTAAGGAAGGATTGCTACCCTCCAAGTATAAGCCACACGACTCTGGCATCATCCTCAGCAACGATGAGTCGATTCCCGCTGACCTGCACCAAACCGGTTCGGTGCATGGACGACCAATACTCTCTCATGAGTCATATACCCTGAAATACCACTATGAAACCCTTTTCCCTTTTATCTGAAGTTGGACTAAGGCTAAGGGAATATTTTTTGCTTTTCTTTTTATTTTTTTTATTTTTTCAAGTCTATATGCCAGCAGCCTGAATATTTTAGTACATTTAATTCTGCAATGAGTTTTGCTTAGTCAGCCATGGTGATGACTCAGACAAAATCCCACACATGTCAGGTGACTGTGAAAAATATTTCCCACATATGTTGTCCTGGAAAAACATTAGTAAACCCCTAAATACTAGGCTCGCGTCATTCTCACCCTTCAAACAAAGCAAAGCAAAGACAGCCACACACAGGATTCATATCATGTGACACTTCTTACTCTCCTTCTGGATTTGTCATCAGGGGTTGGACAGGTCACATGACTTAGCAAATACCCAATGACTCACTATGACTCACTATGACTCACCTTGCACATATGACTCATTATGACTCTTGATGACTCTTGAATACACTAGTAGCACAGCCACATTTATTGTGTATATAATGACCTCAGTTTTTGAAATAATAAAGAGCAGATACCAGCAGGTAGTAGGGTGTTTCTCAGCCCAACTAACACTAAGTTGTGAAGTAAGGTGTGATAAGTGTCAGTACCAGTGTCAAGAACTGTTTCAAGACTGAGAGGAACACTCTCAAGAGACAGTAATACTGCAAGCTCATCATACTGAACGACCAGCTGTGAGCTCACTGTGTGCAACAACCAGCAAGCAAGGTACAGCCACAGTTATATTCTGATTTCTATTATTCTTTTTCTTTTCTTTTACTTTCACCAACCTTTGGTGGTCTTTGTCCAGAAATATATTTCGAAAATATTCGTGTTGTCTCTACGTCCACCTAAGACTCAGTAGTAGCAAAGTGGGGAGACTTTAGGAATTGATAGTGAAGCTTGACCTCACTCATCTGAGTAGTGATACTGAGCCAAGATATTCTGTGCCTGCTAGGCTTTAGCCATTGAAGAGGGGACTTGGTAGTAAACCCAAGGACGTCCGTTCCTGAGTCTGTTTGAATACTCAAAGAAGAGTTCCTTGACAGCAGGTTCAATATTGAGCTAAGAGTTCTACAATAAAGCATTTGACTAGTCTTGACCTTTGATTCTACCTGTTTTGTGCTGAGGGAGTTTATCATTGTAATTCTGCACCATTTCTTTGGAGTATAGTTGGTACGAGGCACTGTTGTTGAAAGGGAACTTGAGGAAGAAACCCGTATATTCTTTTGGTCATTGCCATACTGTCGGGCTGACCATTGTTTGTTTGTTTTCCTGTCAAAGTCCATAGATTGGATTGACCATCGTATTACTGATCTTGCAGAAGTATCCTTAGCTGAACATACCTTGGGTAGTATACGACTAGCCACCCACGAACGACCACGTTATCAGTCATTGGTATTTGTCTGAATCGCTGACCGTGGAGATATTTGTTTTATAGGTATTTATCTATAGATCATCTATCTAAGAAGACACCGCATGAAATTCAGTGTTAAGTTTGAGCTCTATTCACTCTGATAATGATAACGGCGATGATATGGACCGAGTCCTGTTGCTAATTTCTGCCAATCCCTAACACACTTCTAACCTCATTTAATTCCCACCACTCACTTTCAAGCCATTTGACCATGTTGTTCAGCTCTTGCTCTCTCTGCAGCGCCATCAAGGTCAGCCAACATCTCTCTCATTCCATTGCACTGATTTGTTGTTGTTGCACAGGATGGTGGCTTTGGCCTATATAGGATTGAGCGGCTGCTGTTGCGGCCTTCCAAATTGCCTGCATCATGTTTGTTAGCTGCCACAGTTAAGTACAATATACAATGACTACATACAATTGCCGATTCCATGACAATCAATGGTCCTGGGACATCATAAGAGTGAGGCAGTACTAACTAGTAACGGTAAAGTTTTAAATTAGGTGCAAAATATCAGTCAGTTCTACTCACTGCCTGACTGTTAGATTGACCGTCTTGTCCCTCAGCATTGAGCTGATGTTGACTATTGAACTCATTTGGATCCATGGAATCAGTATTGTAGTAGATGTGATCTTGATTATCGGTTAGAGTGCAGTGTAGTTCAAATTTTGGCTGAGTTGTAACTCTTGCCTTTTTGGGAAACTATGATATCATTTGGACGCAATTATAATATCTGACAATTTCTTGTATATAAATAGCAAAATTGCAATGTTCTGATCATGATTTTTATGCATTGTAAAACTTCATTTTTTTCCATCGTTGTGACAAGCATTTGTAGCTTTCTATTTATCAAGGACCATTCTTGCGAGACATGATGTATTCTCCTCACAATTGCGGTTGTCCTATAATCTACTGTCTTTCGACCCAATCTGCTCATGCTTATGTATTATTTTGTCTAGTTTTGTTTTTACATATAATCCCATGTATTTTTGCTCTGATCTTGCCAAATGAATCTAGGTAAAACATTGTCTCCCCAATTTCATGATGATGCTGACTTTGGCCTATCTGAAATTAGTCATGGCAAAGGAGCTTTCAGCAGCACATGCTCAGGCTGTCACATCAGTTTCTATCAGCAACCCTTTCTCAATCAGTATTCGACAGAATCTTCAATGAGTAACATGATCCCCGCCAGACTATACAGGATTGCCAATGTCACATATCCAAACTGGTACATCTCCATGCTAGAAGACCACTTTGTTGGCTACAACAAAGGCGAAATCATATGCATGCATCATCACAGCAGCATACTTCCTGTACTCATCAATGCTCATAGATTCAAGTCGAAATCATAGACAATGTTGCAGGTCTTGTGGCCCTCTTTGATACCATGACAGCTTCGTACATTGGGGTCAACTTAAAGGTTGGTCCGTTCAGTGTCAAGAAATGTGAGGTTGCTAGCAGCATGAAATGGTAGAAAAACAAAGTCATAGGTTGCCCCAGTCGCCAGGTGCTCCAGTTGTCCATTGATGAGAGCCAGAATATTGTGTGAGCACAGTCTTTGGTCCCAGTTGTATCGAGAATTCGTTCATCATCTTTGTCCACAGGATCCATCCAAAGGACATAAATAGCAGAGTGTGGGTTCTCAACAATGACAGAGATGGCACTCCAGTTCGTTTTTATCACTGACCTATTTTTGGTTTATTCATGACCAATGTCCATCTAGATCACTGTTGAGCCAGCTTCCGCCTCAAATAAGAAGTATTGGACATTCGAGAGGGCAGAATAGGTATTTTGAAATGAAAGGAAACCTGAGTAGCAGCTGCCAGCTGCTGGTGCTCTGACTCGTCCATCATAGAATACTTGTATGATTGGCTCGCAGTTGTGATGTATGCAAGACGTGTTTGTGATTTCTGTAGTTAGTCAGTGAGATGCTAGAGTGTTCGCCCGCCAGAAATGTGCCACTTCTACCAACTCACACTGGTATTATTATTATCTGCTTTCTGTATCCTCCTCCCACTCGCCTTAGTGGGTGACAACTGAGCTCCCGTGAGTCTGGCTTGATGGTCCTTTATTGAGAGATATTACACCATGTGACCAGCAAGATGATGTTAGCATCACTTCAAATCACCGGGATAAATGCTGTACACAGACTTCTTACCAACAACTTCCTTTGATGGGCGCAGGTGGCGTTGGACCTAGCAGCATTTGGTCAACCCTTGAGGAAGTTTGTCAATCATGGGTGCACTCCCTTTTGATTGATTTCCACCTTATCCTCCCTTGTCGTCGTGTTAGCACCTCAACTTTACTATGTTTCGGTCATGGCCAAGATTAAGTATGAATATATGACATCTAAGGGCCCATGTCAATGATTCAAGGCTATCCTCGAAACTCAATTATTTCCCTCACCTATAATGCTGATGGCTCCAAGTTATCCATTGGCTACCAGAGCTCCATGAAGGGCTATGTTTCCCGAGATGGCCTCTGACAGTCTGTATTGGATATATCTTTATCAGTGATCACTGGCAGGACTTTCCCATAGGTCGTAGGTCGTAGTAGTAGGGCGGATGATACTCCCAACACAATGCATATATTGAAATGATTTGGTATCATTCGCACGTAATGTAGAAGTCTAGAGCCCATCAGCAAAATGGTTGAATGGATGTGGCATCAGCAAAACCCTCCTGGGCTAAATTTCGTGTAATCTTGAAAGTTCGTATAATTTTTCCTAATTGCTCGTGTTTAGAAACAAATTTGATAACAATGTAGCGGCAATATGAAATTGTTTCACAACAGAAGAGAATTAGTAAGGATTATCTGAATATTGAAAAAGTATGTCTATTAATGTATGAGTTGACCCAAAATGTGTTACAGTCCTCAAGAACAGTCTCGCTCATCCATTCTCGCGGAGCCAAGTCTCCAAACTTCGATATAAGGTGGATACTGCGCACGATATCACCCACTGGCATGATACTAGCCACTCTGTCACTACCTCGCATCAATCTTGACAGTTTATAAAGTCCATTGTTTCAGTCTGGAGCAGATGGGAGTGAACCATTCAATATATGCGAGGTGAGGAGGAATGTTGACAGTGGGTGGAAAGAGCAATTGCAAAGACTCTGGGGGCAAGGAGAATATAACTCAAACTTGACCCACACTGAAACCTAACGAGTCAGTGAGCAGCGAGTCCTTGAGTAACAATCAGACAGCCAGCACCGAATCACGCACCTTTGAGATCATTTGTAACCGAGTCTTCGCAATAGCTAGAAGACGATAATGTGGGATCCAAATATCACAAAATGCAGAACAGTGGGACACCCCACCCAATCCCAGCAGCCACCAGTGCTTAGCGCACACGCCCGGCACACGTCAGTGAATGCTGACATGGCTCAAACGTGTGCAGAGGACACTGGAGAGCGCCAGAAGAGTGGAAAGAGGGCCGAGACAGGAAGCATGAGATGGAGGGTAGGATGTAGTGTAGGGTGGTCATAGTAGCACGCTGCAAGGTTAAAGATAGTAGTAAACAAGAAGAAAAAAACATGCGCACCTACTACTGAAACAAGCGGCGAACGACTGAGTAAAATTTTGTTGAAGTTCATCATTTGCACATATTTGTTTCGCTCACGTGACTGTTTGTTGATATTGAACCATTTGCATGTATTTGTTTGGTTCGCATGACTTGAAAACTTTTGAACTTCCGACGTTGATCCCTCATTCCTCAACGTTCAACGTCGTCAGCCTCAATCATCAAGCTGATAGGTATGTCTTAGGTTTTTTAAAAGTTCTATCTAACATTTGCAACTACAAAATAGGTATCAAGTTCATATCAACTTTGCTTGGATCCGTTTGAAGTGAGTGTGTCAGTCCTTGTTCCAGCCAGAGCCACGCTGATCCAAGTTGTTGTCTGCTGTTTGCAGGTAGTCAGTGCGTCGATCATTGTTCGAGCAACCACCCAACTGCCATGCTGATCCAACTCGTTGTCTGCCGTTCACAGTGGGTGAGTGTGTTGATTCTCCTTTGAGCTCGAGCCATGCTGATTGTCGCTGTTGTCTGCCATTCACAGCGTGTTGATCCTCCTTCCAGGGGTCACCATATGTCCTTTCTATAAATCCACTCACACATTTTACTAATGTAGCTTTATTAGCTTATGCTCATCCACACATTCACACCTGTATGTGCTTGTCCACACTCATTCTTGCTGCAATAGGTACGGCTTTGTTTTATCTAAGCCAGGGATTAGGTATTTGCGGTCAATTGTAGCTATGCAGTAATTACTTTTGTGTCTACATATATTCTACAAGTGTCCATGTCGGTCATTACTAGCTGTGTTGCCACTTTACATACCATTTTCTAAATGAAAAAAACTAAATTTTTCGTGTAATGTTGTCTGATGGTGTTTAGATTTGTGAATGATGCTCTATCTAAGTTTGAATGGATGGTCTCTCAAATGCACGACAAATTTGTCAAATGACTAATGATTGTAACCAATTTTGTCAAAGTTATTTGGGGTAACATAATCCATGCGATCCTTCTAACCAGATGTTTTTTCGAGAAATTATGAGAAATTAGCGAATAATTTTTGATAATCATGTATATTTAGCCCAGGAGGGTTTTGCTGATGCTGACCTGTCAATTTGCGCACTACATCCAGTTGTTTGGATCCAAGGCTTTCGGCAAACAACAGCGGCGCCACGTTGAAGTTAAAGGTGCTTCCGAACAACTTCCGAACAAGTTTGTGGAACATGCTGTGTGCACAGTGCATCACGATGCTGGTGCACCACAGTCCAGAAAGTCTGATATCATCTGCATCCAGGTCAGAAGATCATTGTCGCCAGGACTATGTATGCTATTGGCAGGTCTCGTTCGTACTAGATGTCCATGTCATCGCTCACATCACCTATGTTGAACTTGCCAGTTTCATCCGATATACGTGCCGGCTTTGGATTTTGAATCTTGAATTTTGGATTTGGCCATCTCCGCTCACACGGCCCCCACAGCAAGGTACGAGCAAAAACTCAGTGAAGACCTCGCTCACCGCATGGGCCTTATGGTACCTTGTTTTCGCCACAGCTTGGCAGCCGAACGGTGGCGGAGCGGTAACAGGTCACTTTCAAGTTGGTCCACAAGTAGCATTCAGGGGTGCAGTGAACTTTCCATTCAAACGGTCTCGGTCATTGACCGAATTACAGCTACTCTCATATTGATGGACCAGATTTAGTATTGCTGACAGAATCCCGCGAGTCTTCCTAACCGATCCGGTAGACTGGCCGTACTTGGTCCATGGCAGAACGCCAGGGAATTTGAAACTCGCAGAGATGAAACTTTGATGTTATGGTGCAGTTTGAATTTGATAAAACATGAAAACCAATGCCCTTAGAGTAAGATGGCGATCAATATGCTAACATGCGCACTCGTGTGTCTTAGAGTGAGGTAACGTTTCTGGGAGCCGAGAATTTTCGGATGAGTAACAGGAGACTGGCCACTCTGCTGGTAGCCTTGTTCAAAATGGGGATCAGTGGCGAGGTAAGGAGTTGTTCGACGTCTAGTGTACGAGAACAATGAACCGGAAGCGACCCGAGGAATGATTAGGTCAATGATGTAGGTCAGTGTCTCGCGCAGCAGGTTTGGAAGCATTTGACGCACCTCCATCAGAAGAACTTGCCTCCAACGGAATCCGGTCTTTGATCAGTGCCGAAAGCTAAGCGAGTTGTGGCCTCAAGACCAAACTCAGATTGGCCTATCTGGAACTTGTCACTGTGATGGAGCTTTCAGCCAGGTGGATATAAAGGTCGCGGCGTACCCTCAGGCTGTCGTCAGTTTCTACCAACAACCCTCTCTCAATCAGTATCCAACAGAATCTTCAATCAACCATGAGCGACACCCCCTCTGGACGATTCAAGATCGCCAATGTCGCGTATCCATACCGGTACGTCTCCATGTCAGACAACAAGCAGTTCGTCGGCCAGGACGATGGCAACATGGTACGCGTGCATCATAGCAACGTGCTTCCCATGCTCATCAATGCCCGTAGATCCAAGTCGACGTCATAGACAACGTTAAAGGTCTTGTGACACTCTATGATGGTTCGGTAGGTGTGTACATTGGGGTCGACTTACAGGTTGGTCTGTCTGGTGTTGACATATGCGAGGTTGCTAACAGCGTGAAATCGTAGAAAAACAGAGTCGTAGCCTACGACGATCCCCAGGTGCTCCAGTTGTCCGCTGCCGGCAATGGTAGTTATCTGTGGGTCCAGTCTTTGGTCTCAGTTGTATGCAGGATTGATTCATCACCTTTGTCCGCAGGATCCATCCACAGGACCAGGATAAAGTCTGGGTTCTCGACAACGACGTCATCGGGACCGCGGTTCGTTTTTATCGCTGACCTTTTTTTGGTTTTATTGATGACCAACGTCTATCCAGATCAGTGTTGAGCCAGCTCCCGGCTCAAACAAGAAGTATTGGACGTTCGAGATGTTGGAATAGGCGCTTTGAAATGAAAGGAGACCCAAGTGGCAGCCGTCAGCTGCTGATGCTCTGACTCGTCCGTCATAGAATTCTTGTATGATTAGCTCGCGGTCGTGATGTATGCAAAATGTGTTTGTGATTTTCCGTGATGAGACAGTGAAATGTCCCAGTGTTCGCCTGCCAAAGATGTGCCGCGAGTCTCGCCCGATTGTCCCATCCTCGCTGAGAAATATTGCACTGTGTGACCATCAACTTGAAGATGATGATAAGATCAGTCACTGGGATGAATGCTGCGCACAGACTTCTTACCGACAACTCCCTTGAATGGGCGCTGGTGGCGTTGGACATAGCAATACCACAGGAAGATAGCCTCGTCTGGAACCAGGAGTTCTTCGACCATGCACGATATCCCTTTCAGTATTTCTGCCCCATCCATCGTTACTTGATCAGTCACTAACCGTTGGAACGGGGGTTGCCGGCGGGACGTGAGCAGAGGACAGGAGGAGCAGGCAGAGAGGTGCCAGGGGTCTTGGGGTTCTCGGCGTCTCGGCGTACATAGACATGTAGCACGACACGTTGTACGGACATCATCCATCCATCCATAGCAGCCGTTGCAGTAGCAGCAGCCTCCATCGTCTCTCGTCCTCTCCTGAGCACAAGGTAGAGCCGTGTCCACCGTTCTGACTGAGAGCGTCCTGAGAGAGATGATTAAGTCTAATGGCACGAGAAGAATGAAAGCTAAATCATCATACCGCCTTCTCAGCCGAATTCTGATCCTTCCTCTGATGCTGGTGGACCAGTAACCGTCCCAGGATCATTACCCCAACGCTAGTCATTGCTGAGATGCAACTGAATGTTTTTGATAGTGCATCGTCAACAACAAGCGCAAGAAAAGCAACATTTGCGTCGAGCACCATAGTCGCCTGGTCAACGCTTGGACGATGGTACAAAAGATACAACATGCACGCACAATTAGTGCCAGACGGGACTAATCACCATTCAGCTTGGCTATAGACTGCCTCCAGAGAACGCGATTGAACATTTTGTGCCATCAAGCTCCTTCGCGTAGTTACGTGACGGGTATAGAAATGCCATCTAGACGAACATGAATTTGCTTGCCATTGCCTGATCAGAGTTTAGACATGCACCAGGCTGCCCGCAAGAATTGAGGAATTGAGGAATTTAGGCAATACTATCACGATGGTCTGAGATAAAGCAAGGAGAATATAGAGGATGTAGCATACCAAAATCCTCCAGGAAGTAGTCTGATGCGGGTGATCGTGGAGTGAAACGAAGTAAGGTTCACTTACCTATAATGCATTTTGCATGCAGAAACGGCTCGTCGATTATACCTGATAACGCTATTAGGATCACCTGCAGACTACACAACATGGTTTGGGGGAAAATATGTAGTACATCCGAAGTTACATCAGTAGCAACGAAAGACTGAAATTGCATGAAGTCAGATAGCCCAGCAAAAAGTAGCGATTATATACCTTTGTATGAAGTTCAGCTCAATAATTTTAGTCCTCTCAAGCACAAGCTCACAAGTGTTACACGGAAATAACGCTTGTCGAAAGTAGTCGTTCTGCATAGTATTTTATGTTTTCAAATCCATCTTCTGCCGAAAGATCAGCATCTGCGTATACTATCACATCGTTCAGTGCCATTTGCATGTGAACAAGAAAAATGTTTCCGCGCACGCGTTTCAAGTCGAAGTGATATAGCACGCTATCTGGGTAAATATGCGGCGTCCAATCTCCGTATCCCTCTGCAGAGATGTTAGCGGTGAACATTTACAGTGAATATCTCACGCACTTATTGAAATCGGTCTGACCGAACTCTGCCCAGAAGCTATTCTTAAATCCCGGTGAGTTTAGATAGTCAAATTGAAATTGAAATAGTCAAAACGTTCATGATCCTGGCCCTGTCATTGCTCTTGACATCCGATGGGGTGACATGCATAGGCAAATGGATTTGGAGTCAGAGACTCAGAGAAGAGTTATGAGAGACTCGCAACTGTCGTCCCTTCCGACGAAGGTTCTCGACGAGAGGCGCTCAAGCTCGGGCAACGATTGACTTGAAGTCAATGATGGAGTCGCCATCGACCATACAAAAGAGCTGGAAGCTTGATTTGGTACTGAGTGGACTGACGTTCGAATCCTTGTCGAGAACCTGTACTACGATTTGAATTTTGTTTTTGATGCAGGCACCAGCATTTAGCAAGTCGTTCCCAACTTCACTGATGGGGGACTCACCGTGACAGAGACTCGTGCATCGGATTGTCGATGAGTTGTTATTGAAAGACATGAATGCGAGGAATTCGGGAGACCGTGACGGACTCGGAATAGTGCCGATGATAGTATCCGCGGCAAGGCCTGGAAAATATGATATGGTTCAACCGATGAATTCGAAGACTTTGGAATGTCATTGCAATAGCTTTGATAATTACTGTAGACATCGTGTTTTCTTATTTTGTTTTCATACAATGCAAACAATTTGACATTTCATGCATATGCATGCCTGTCTCCGTACGTATCTCCGCGAGTGTGGTAATTAAGCCCTGCCGGTATACCTTTTCATTGGACATACTTTGGCTTCACCCTCTTATTTGCGGTGTTTAAAAATGGCTGCATTCCATCTTCAAACGAAATTTTATTTCTATATAGCTGTACTGCCTGGGCAGTGCATGAGGTGGCTTGCCCTGGTTGCAAATGAGGATCCCCATGTCCGATCGATTGCGCCATGCCATGATAGTGAACATCCACTGATCTCGGGTCACCACAGCAAGTACCTCATGATGATGAACGAACATCCCATACAAGAATCCACCTGCGACGAGCTACCCGCTTGCGCTACATTGGATAGTGAAGCAATTGACTCGGATGCTCGTTCCAACAAGGCGTCTTGTACGGGCCACGGTGCTCGCCACACATTCCAGTCCGTCTGACCCGAAGCCGAGATAAATATTAATGACGTCGAATGCGAACCCTAAGTAGGAGGCCACGACTCGTGGAAGAAGAACGCAAAGTTCCAATAATATGTGAGAGCGCTCAGTCATGGACGGAGGATCGAAGATCTAGTCGCTAGTTTTTTCCTTGCCCAGAGATCCGATATGTGAATAGGCTGAGTAAAAGTGAGACAAATGCTTCCAGACGTTCAATCGCCTGGGCCTGCTATGAGGCTGCAGTGGTTTGAGCATACTTTCACCAACAGTTGAGTCGTCCAGTTTGAAGCTGGAAGTGTTCAGCGCACGATAGCACAACATCAAGAACACGGCCCACTTAGCAGACCCTGGATCAATGAATTTGGGCTGAAAGGTACCCCGACCTGCCCACACCAAACCATCGCGCACGAATAAATGGATCCCGCCACAGGAAAGGCTCCGCTGAGTGCATACTAGTCGCGCTACCGCCAAAAACATTTTATTCGTCTGTTCCCTGGAACACATACCGACAGGATAGGCAGCTCTTTGCAGTCCCGACTGGAGTCGCCCTGCAATATGCAATACCTGCATAATGTAGATATCACATACACACAACAAAACCTAGAGTAATCAACGTACGCATACATAAAATGGTAACGGAGTTGAACTAAACAAAAGAGGTGCTAGCACCATTGACGCATAGCGTTTCCATCCGACAAGAGAGTGTACGGCCATGGTCTAGAAGGTTGAAGATCAAAGTTGTTGGGACAGGTTGAAAGTAAGGGTGAAGGACAGCAACAACGAGGTTACGGACAATATGGCGAAGGGATGCGATCGAGGGTCGGGGAGGAAAGACAGGGATACAAATTGGTGATAGCAGATAATGATAGGAAGAAGATACATTTGTCTGCAGCGGATATAGCGGGAAACATCCATCATCGTGGATGGATGATTACAGAGCGGGGTAATTAAACCTAAAAATATACATTGTTGATATTCTGGACACCAGCAAGAAAGAAAGAAAAAACTTACGTCGGTTTCAGCAACTGGAGCTTCAACAGCAGCAGCTTCTTCCTCGAGCTCTTCTACAATAGTCTCTGGAGCGGGGTCTGGAGCCTCGTTCTCATTTGTTGGGGCTTCAGCCTGATAATCAAGATAAGCGTGGTTTTAAATCAAACGAGATATGTCCCACCCTAGATGCAGGCTTCTTGGAGGCTGCTCTTGAAGCGGGTTTCTTGGCAGTGGTTGAAAGTGGTTTGGCGGATGCTCGAGACGCAGGTTTCGCAGCCTTAGAGGCTGGTTTGGCGGGGGCTGCCTGGGAGGCTGGCTTTGAGGCAGCCTTGGATGCAGGCTTCGACGCAGCCTTGGATTCGGGTTTAGCCTGACGATTGGTTCAGTATACGCAAAATGTGCAGTAACAAAGTAGAGGCAAACCAACCTTTTTGGCGGCGGGTGCTTCTTCACTCTCTGGTTGAGCGCTCTCTTCCGCAGCTTTTTCAGCAGCAGTACGCTTCTTTCCCCTGGCGGACTTGGGTTTAACTTCAGCTTCACTGTCTTGTTTGTCGCTATCTGCAGTAGGTTTAGGTTTTCTTCCCCGCGGCTTTGCGGGAGCCTTCTTGGTTGCTGGGGGCTTGTCCCGACCAGCAAGGCGGGATGAACGGCGAGCAGTATTAGCGTCACCATCAGTAGCTGCTGTGGTAGTGCCAGTGGGTACGGAGTCGTCTGCAGGTGCGGCGGACGCAGCGGCTTTGCGGGGCATCGCGATTGATGGACTGTGGGTGAAGAAAAGTGAGGGTGGACGCGCTCGACACCCTATTACTTGAACTTTATCTAGGATATCAACAAACAATACTCGATCACCTGACCAAAAGCGCGTATACAGCTACAAACAATCACTAATCTGCGCACGGTCCCGAACCGAGGCAGCTTACGACCTTAAGTTAAATAGTAATCGCTTCCTTTAGCTATAGTCTAAGTTATTACTTTATGGGTTATCGACACTTCTGCTCAATTGAGAGAATCCTCCTCAGCAGACAGGTAAACATATTCTTCTTCACTCTATTGATTTATTGATGTACACACAATGCCAGCAAGTACCTACTTAGAGTGTCTGCTCATTCCAATGAGGCAGCTTCACAGATGTAAGCGTTAAATACGCAAACAAAAAACGATACCTTCGATCACAACTTGGCCAATACGGCGTCAGCACCAGAAACAGTCACTCCGAGGCCAGGCTCGACCTACGTATCCAGTCGTCAGGATCTCCATTATTATGGTGTTTGCAGGAAATACACGAACCTCGACGTATTTGATAACCAAGTCATCTATGATCATGGCGTATCGTGCAGTACGGATTCCGAATCCGCGCCCTGAGAGGTCGACACTTAATCCCAGGCTGCCTGACCACGCGGCATTGGGGTCAGAGAGGGTGATTATCTACGCACGCAAACTCTTTCGTTTGCTCCCGGAATGATCTGATGGTATTGACGATTTACCTTGTCTGTCAGTCCTTCAACACGTCCCCATCCGCTCAGGACGAACGGATCATTGGCAGCGATGACAGCGATAACATCGACACCCTTGGCTTTAAACTCGTTGTACTTGGCAAGGTAGGGCGGGAGGTGGTTGATGTGACAGGTTGGCTAACAGGATGGGGTGAGTTCAATAATCAGAGATGCATTTGAGAATACATACGGTGAAAGCACCAGGCACTGAGAAGAGCACAACCTTCTTGCCCTTCCAACTGTCAGTAGAGAGGTTGGTGGCTTGTGATCATCCTGATAAGCCTTATTCTACGGGTACCGGCAGAAAACAGACGCACGAATACCACATGCCGACTGTGCGTCATCAGACATATCAGTGACAAGAATATTAGGATTCGAAGCGATATGACTCACATGATCAGCTAACTCTTCTGTGAAAGGAATAGTACCGAAGGTGCCCTTTGGAAGAGTGTCACCAACGGAGATCTTGAGGGATGCCATGAGCGAGTTGGGTAGTAGGTAGGTGACAAAGCGACGTGGTTTGACAGTGGGATAATCGCGATCGCTGAGCGCTGGCGCTGAACACCTTATCTAGTGTACAAATTCGCGGAGTTCTGAACACACTCGTGGCACTGGATCACACACCTGCTACTACAGTACTACCACACTTGCTTAAGTTCTGACAGGTAAGAAAACGCTGAAGTTTGCACTGCAGTCGCGCAGTATTTGAAAGACATGTCGTTATGAGCTGCACGCTGTTGGACGCCGTTTGGTATCGATTCATCTGATTTGAAGATCAATCAATATGTTATATAGGTTGATCATGATAGCAACTTTGTTGTTATAAAATTAAATTATCTCCATTTTATTGCCACTGATATCCGGTATGTTGTGGATTGACATCGCTAGGAAGAAGAACACACCAGTCATTTGGTGAAATCATTCTTTCATCGATAAGAATTGCCCCGTCTCACACATCTATGTATGTATCTCGGAAGGCATGTATTGAATTGCCTTGTGGGACCCATTTTGGCACAACCTCAAAAGACCGGGTATCGAATAACGCCTGTCCTCGGATCTTTTCGACCGACCACGATGTTTAGAGGTGCAACTGTGAAGATAGCCCATAGCTCAACGATCCCTGTTCCTGCCCTCATTGGAAATGAGGAGCTCAGGCCTCTACAAGATTTGATTGCAGCAGAGAAGTCGGTGTTGGCTTCGTGAGTCCACCTCGCGTTTGACACAGCTATCAAACAAACCTCGGGGCAGGCTACAAAGGTTGAGCTCAGACTTTTCCAAAGCGGCTGATGCCATGAAGACATGGGCAATTTCTGAAGGAGACGACCTTTCTGTAAGTCTTGGCATTGTCTCCAGATAAACTGAACATCGAACGCGGGTTCAGGATATACTGAGTTCATCCAGAGCGCTCCTGGCGCACTTTTCTGGGGCGCTTAACCGCTACAGCTCTATTCAAAACATCATTCGAGACAACATGAAGGCCGTGCGTACACGTGAAGAATCCCTCGACATCCTTCAACGGCGCCGGCGGCGTACTGCAGCCTCTGTAGAGAGCATCAAGAAAAAGCTCGCCCGAATGAACCAGGAGACCAAGGCATTCCATGCACAGATGGACGCATTGAACATTTCATGTAAAGCCATGCGGAATTTGGATGCAAAAATCGCTCACGAACAATCGACAATCGCCGCTTTCAAACGTAAATGCACGAAAAACTGGCTGACATTAAAGTTTGGAGGTCTTGCCGAGTGCTGTGAGAAGGGCATGGTATGTTCTGCACGCCATTCAGTAACAACTCCATATCTGAATATCTGAACAGATTATAGGGGAGATTGGGAAGCGAATGGTAGTCGTGGGTAATGCCCTATTGCTTACCAGTGCTTAGTTCTCTAAGAGGAGCTGGGACATCAGGAACTTTCGGAGTCACCTAAACATCCGTATGTGGGGCACAAGCACACGACCTCGTTACTCTCTGAGGCCCAGCATCGCATCGTGCAAGTCGTATTTTCTGGAACGCCATCCGGTCACGAGACACACGAGGCTCCGCGCCCACCGATTTCCCAAAGTCTGAATTACTTCAAAGATCTTCCAGAAATTCGTGACGAGCCCTTTGACGTGATATCCGTCGATTATCTCCCTGTCAGCAGCCGATCTTCGCTTGACGATGATATGATTACAGCTCCCGTTCATGTCGTATGTCCTCATGATCAATCTCATCCGGAGCTTATATAAACTTTAAGAATAGCTTTCGGAAACTGGCCCGTCGACGACTTACACACCAGACTACGACTGTCAGGCAGGGCCATCTCTCTCATGTTCTGAACTATCTTCAGCTCTTTCTAGCCGCAGAAGGATGTCAGGGAATTCTAGCAATAGGAGGTACTCCGCATTGGTGCGGAGTAGATTCTTTCCCGGCTTTAGACTCGATAGCATCGCGGAAGGTGATGAGCCTTTATCTTCCTCATCTATGTCCAGTGATATCGGAGACCCACGGTCATGTCTGAACCCGATCGGCCCGCATATATCAAGTTTAGAAATCACTTCGTCATCGAGCGGTGGTATTTATGAAGAAATATTAACAGGACAGTGCCCACCTTATTCAAGTCTATGAATTTGAGGTATGGCAGATACAGCCTTGTTGATCGGGTGGAACGTTGAACTTTCGTCCCTGCAGTGAAATGCTGTATTCATAATACGTATTATGCTAGCATGCAATCTTATCACATGGGGATGTAAGCAGGTCGCCACGAACGCAATCAATACTAGGTACATGACCGGGGTCAGGAGCACTATATTACCGGTCGTACAGTGAAGGGGGCTGCTCGAGGACCCGAGCACACTGCCAAACGTTGTCCCTAATTGGGAATCCTGCCTAGGCCCCAAACCTTTATCTAAACGTTTAGTATCAAGTGATTCCATTTTTGAGTGAGAGATGATTGATTGTATTTATACGAACATGCTAATACATATGATGCACTCTATGGAAAGGTTAAGGGTTAGGAATGTGAATAACGGGTTTGGGATGTGCTTTAACTGGACTGCTTGTAGATACATGCATCGCGCGCCTTACGGCCTAGGTACGAGTCTCGTTTAGCACTGGCAACGAACTCGAATTTTTAGAATTGAACGATGTTAAGTTCTCATGCTGCTAATTATCTGGCGTCCGCGAGGCGGCCCTCAAAATATCATTAATTAATGGGCTATATCGGGACTGTGAAATGACGCCCAGTCACGACTCACCACCACTAGCGCACTATTGCATTGAACAGGATATTATATGGTAACTGTTCGTCTTCGACCATTCACTGAGCCACGATGGGCAGCGAAACTCGCATGTATCACTATTCTCATACTAATCGAAAGAGGCTAGCACAACCACGTTTGATCAGCAGGACCTTAACAACTTAGCCAAATATGCAGTGGCCGCGGCTACTATGCTGTGGAGCGGGATCTCTTTCCACTGTCTCCTTATCAATTTGATGGCTCAGCGCTCATCTCTCATGCCAAGCATCCAACCCAGGAGAACGTGAAGTTTTCGGAACCCGAACCGTGGTACCGCTTTCCGTCGGACTCACAAGCCAGCGCTACTATGCGTACGATGCGATCGTGGAAAGCGTGGCAGTAACTATGATGTTGTAGCGCCTGAAAGCATTAGCCTCATTTCGTAGCCTAATCAATGACCGGGACCCATGGAATTCTTAATCGTAACGGCTCGCGGCTTCTCGAGCGCCTCTTCAGCTGAAACAACTGCATCAATACTCGATATCTGCAGTCTTCGAGTGTGTTCCACTGCGGTGGTCTGAAAAGTACTTCAAGCTCTGCAGAGTCACGGCGCGGAAGATTGTGGCCTCCTTTGGATAGTGAGTGCATCAGTGCTATGAGAGGCTTTCAAGTTGGTTGTTGATTCACTAATTAACGGCACGCGGGTGTTCTAGATTCCGTCCATATCTAACAGGCAGTACCTAGGTCATAGGTGCTCGTACAAGTTTGTTCTTTCGAATTGTTTAATATTCGTGCTGATTGAGAGTCTCAATGTGCCTCCGGTTATGACGGTTCAAGGTACCCCGAAAGCTGTTTCTCACGAATACAGATCGGATTCACGAGGAAACCTAGAAGTTCGAACGTCATATCTGGACCGGTCCGTCGGGGATTCAAGGTGTGATAACGTTAAATTATATCCTCTGATTCCGGGGCAGTCTGCCACTGCCTTGTAATTACACTCCCGGTATGAATATTACCATCGACCGGCAGTTCACGTTCCTTTCAAGCGCGCATTTGAAGTATAAAAGCCTGGACCTGGGACAACCTATGCATTCAAAAAGTCACAATGTTCTCTCAAGCTCTCACTGTTCGCGCTGATAGCATCGCTCGTCATTTCGAGACGGTCTTCCTTTTTACAAAAAATGATATCAGAACAACTTTGATACCTGTCGTATGTGCCAACTGTTGTACCTTTAGCCCCCTTGTTCAATTACACTTTTCAGACTATATTCGCATTATCCGCGGCTCCCAAATACAACCCCACTCATGCTTGGAATGCCCCTTTGTGGATATGGTTCCATTTATTGCAGTTCAACATTGCAAACCAGATCCAGGATCCGGAGGAGGACCGCAAGAACAAGCCCTCCCGTCCGATACCTGCTGGTCGCATTTCTGTCGACAGCGCAGCTGACATGCGCTGGGTTATGGTCCCAGTCTGCTTGTTGCTATCGTTGTGGTACGGCACTCAGGCTGTGCTGGCCAGCACCGTTTTTGCAGCGTTGACAATCTGGTACAACGAACTTCGCGGCGATAAAATGGGACTGTCGAAGAATGTACTCACAGCCATCCTCTACGGGTGCCTGGAGGTCGGAGGAACCGTCGCTGGTAAATCTATCCAGTCACATAAAATATATCATGTTGCTCATCAAGCGCACAGGTTCTCCCGACTCATGCGTCGATATGGCTGGTGCTTTGGCGGCCGCAATTAGCTCGACAATCTATGCGACTACGCTTCATGCACAAGATTTTAAGGATGAAGAGGGCGATCGCCTTACTGGCAGGCGCACGCTGCCCACAATGTTCCCTAAAGCCGCACGCTTTTCAATGATGTTCGGTCTTCCGCTCTGGGCATATGCCTTGAGCCATATCTGGAAGACAGATGCGCTCTCTACCACTGCATTTGTACTTTACAGTGCATTTGTGGGAACCCGATTCGTGATGTACAAGACGGTGGGCGACGACAAACAGTCCTGCAAATTTTATAGTGTGAGTCGAATTATTGCTTGGAAGCACGCCGAGGTGAAGCTGACAATGGACTCATTAGTTGTGGCACTCGCTCGGTCATCTACTTCCAGGTTACTGGCGGTTCTTCTATGGTGTTTGAGTATCCGGAGCTGAAAGTCGCATTTGTCCGCTTTAAGTCAAGGGCGAAAGGGAGCGAACAGGAGGGGGTGGACACCAATGATACCCGAAAGAAATGTGTGCTTATTCGTGTTGAATTACGTAGATGTAGATAATTTTCATTTTGTTTCCCTTAATAATATATTTGTACGAACAAGACCAAGTCACTGGGCAAGTACAGAAGTACTATATCGATAATCTGCACCCGCGCTACAACTACCCGTCCTGACGGCGCTGCCAGGCATAATGCATCAGTATTAGTGCCACAGTACTACCACATCAAAAGAAAAGTCGATGTAGGCCGAATGTAGTAGGCATGAGTGTAGACTTTTGGTGCGAGCGGGACAAGAGAGCAACGACTAGATAGGACAAATGATCTCAGTCATGGGGACAAGCACTCTGGTATATTAGATATGTACCTAGATAGGACAAATGCTATTGGTACTTGTGAGCTTGGTAAACGGTACGAAAACGTTAAGTAACTTACATCTCAGTCTTGGGGACAAGCACTGAGATGTTTCTGCAAACGACACGCTATTTTATCATGCGGGAGAATCGGAAGAACGAGGAAAGAAAAACTAAATGACTTTAAGACATTGTACTCGGCCGATGTCACAAACGTCCGCATGACGGATGCGCTCGTACCTTTCACTCCGGCGTGTCCGACGACTCTACTCTCGACAATGAGAACGTCACAGACTCAAGTAATCGATGGTTGTTACGCATTCGTCGATCTTTTGAACCTCAGTGAGGCCCGAGCCTTAAGCTTAAAGGTATCGAAAGACTTGCTGGGACTAAGTTTCAAGTACGTATCGTTCCCTTTTCTCTTTTTCGGTTCGTCCTTCATTTCAGCAATATTGATAGGAAAGATCGAGATGTTGTATGTAACGAGACACGGGCGTGGCCGGCTCTGAATCGTCAGCTACCCCAGTGTAGACTTGAACATTCGTCCCTGCATGCAGTGAAATGCTGTATTCGTAATACGTATTATGCTAGTATGCTAGTATGCAATCTTATCACATGGAGATAGTCGCCACGAACGCAATACTGGGTACGTGACTGTAGGACAAGGTTCAACGTTCAACTCGCAAGTCTCTTACATAATAATCTGTCACTCAGAGTATTACTAGTTTGTTCGAAGACTATTGGGGCACACTGCTTTGTTTCTCGTGCTCTCATGCCGGTTATCTGGCGTCGGCCCTCGATTGATTGGCTATATCCGGATCGAGAAGCGGGACTGCTATTGGACCACAGAAATGTCATCGACCACTAGCACGCTGTTGAACAGGATATGTTCGTCTTCAACCACTCACTGGGCCGCGATGGACAGCGAAATTCGCATCATCACTATTCTCGTACTAATCGAAAGAAGCTAGCACAACCACGTTTGATGAGCAGGAATTTAGCCAAATATACAGTTGTCGATCCGCTGCAGCTACCAGGACTTTGGAGCAGGATCTCTTTCCACTGTCTCCTTTGTATTCCGATCAGTTTGATGGCTCATGCCAAGCATCTGACCCAGGAGAATGCAAAGTTTTCGGAACCCGAGTCGTGGCTCGGCTTTCCATTGGACTCGCAAGCCAGCGCTACTATGCGTACGATGTTATCGTGGAAAGCGTGGCTGTAACTATGATGCTGTAGCGCCTGGAAGTAACTCAAACTGAGCGTCATCTCTTAGCCTAATCAATGACCGGTGGAGCTGCTAATCGTAACGGCGCGGCTTCTCGAGCGCCTGTTCGACTGAAACAACTGTATCAATACTCGATATCTGCAGTCTTCGAGTGTGTTCCACTGTGATTATCTGGAAAGTGCTTCAAGCTCTGCAGAGTCACGATGTCGAAGATCGCGACCTCCTTTGGATAGTGAGTGCATTAGTGCTATGAGAGGCTTTGGGTTGATTCACTACAGCCATAGTAACGGCACGCGGGTACTCCAGATTTCAGTTATATCTAACAGGCGGTACCTAGGTGGCAGGTGCTTGTAAAAGTTCATTCTTTCGAACCTGCTGGTTTCGATGTGGCTCCCACATCGGGGTGAACGATATTTAAAAGAGGTTTATATGTTGTACAAAATGTGAAGACAATATTTAATATTTAAACTGACATAAAGATGGGTGCACGACTTCAAATTTTGGTGGTGTTTTGTGTGTCATCCAAAATATCAAATATTCACAACCATATTCCCACAGACAATATGTCAACAAATATAATAAATATAATCAGATTTTCCATGTCTGCTTCAATTTAAAGTTTGATTCTTACATAAAACTTTGGAGAAAACTTGAAGTTTTGCCAAAGCTTGACATTTAAATCGAGTTTTAATGTCATGTCATCTGTAAAACTTCAAGTTTTCTCCAAAGTTTTACATGGAAATTGAACTTTAAGTTGAAGCAGACATGAAAAATCTGACTATATTTCTTATGTTTGTTGACATATTGTCTGTGGGAATATGGTTGTGAATATTTGATATTTTGGATTACACACAAAACACCACCAAAATTTGAAGTCGTGCACCCATCTTTATGTTAGTTTAAATATTAAATATTGTCTTCACATTTTGTACAACATATAAACCTCTTTTAAATATCGTTCACCCCGATGTGTCCGGTTATGATGGCTCAAGGTACTCCGAAAAAAGCTTTTTCTCACGAATACAGATCGGGTTCGCGAGGACCTGAAAGTTCGAAAGTTCAATCTGGACCGGTCCGTCCGGGATTCAGGTGTGTTGACAACGTTAAATTATCTCATTACAGACTCCGGGGCAGTCTCCAGTCCCTTGTAGTTACACTCTCGGTATGAATATTGCAATCGACCGGCAATTCGCGTTTCTTTCAAGCGCGCATTTGAAGTATAAAAGCCTGGACCTGGGACAACCTATGCATTCAAAAAGTCACAATGTTCTCTCAAGCTCTTACTGCTCGCACTGATAGGATCGCTCGTCATTTCGAGACGGTCTTCCTTTTTACAAAAAATGATATCAGAACCACTCTGATACCTGTCGTATGTACCGACTATTGTACGTTTCACCCCCTTGTTAATTACACTTTTCAGACTATATTCGCATTATCTGCGACTCCCAAATATGACCCCGTCCATGCTTGGAATGCTCCCCTGTGGATATGGTTCCATTTATTGCAATTCAACATTGCAAACCAGATCCAGGATCCGGAGGAGGACCGCAAGAATAAGCCCTCCCGTCCGATACCTGCTGGTCGCATTTCTGTCGACAGCGCAGCTGACATGCGCTGGGTTATGGTCCCAGTCTGCTTGTTGCTATCGTTGTGGTACGGCACTCAGGCTGTGCTGGCCAGCACCGTTTTTGCAGCCTTGTCGATCTGGTATAACGAACTTGGCGGTGATAAAATGGGACTGTCGAAGAATGTACTCACAGCTATCCTCTACGGGTGCCTGGAGGTCGGGGGAACCGTCGCTGGTAAATTTATCCAGTCACAGAAAGTCTATCATTTTGCTCATCGAGCGTGCAGGTTCTCCCGACTCATGCATCGATATGGCTGGTGCTTTGGCGGCCGCACTTAGCTCGACAATCTATGCAACTACGCTTCATGCACAAGACTTTAAGGATGAAGAGGGCGATCGCCTTACTGGCAGGCGCACGCTGCCCACAATGTTCCCTAAAGCCGCACGCTTTTCAATGATGTTCGGTCTTCCGCTCTGGGCATATGCCTTGAGCCGTATCTGGAAGACAGATGCGCTCTCTACCACTGCATTTGTATTTTACAGTGCATTTGTGGGAACCCGATTCGTTATGTACAAGACGGTGGGCGACGACAAGCAGTCCTGCAAATTTTATAGTGTGAGTCGAATTATTGCTTGGAAGCACGCCGAGGTGAAGCTGACAATGGACTCATTAGTTGTGGCACTCGCTCGGTCATCTACTTCCAGGTTACTGGCGGTTCTTCTATGGTGTTTGAGTATCCGGAGCTGACAATCGCATTTAAAGTTAAGGGCAAAAGGGAGCGAACAGGAGGGGGTGGACACAAGTGATATTCGGAAGAAATGTGTGTTTATTCGTGTTAAATTACGTAGATGTAGATAATTTTCATCTCAATAATGATATTTATATGAACAAAACCGAGCGGGCAAGTACAGCAGTATAACTATATGCATCTGCATCCGCACTACAAGCCAGAACAACTGCCCGCCCTGACGGCGCCGCCAGGTATAAGTATCAGCCCGGAAACGAAAGGAGAATGTGCCACTACCACATCAAAAGAAAAGTCGATATAGGCCAAATGTAGTAGGCGTGAGAACGTCACAGACTCATCAATGGTTGTCACGCATTCGTCGATCTTTTGAACCTGAGGCCCGAGCCTTAAGCTTAAAGGTGTCGAAAGACTTGCTGGGACTAGGTTTCAAGTACGTATCGGTCCCTTTTCTCTTCTCCGGTTCGTCCTTCATTTCAGCAATTTTAATAGGAAAGATCGAGATGTGTGTAACAACGAGACACGGGCGTGGCAGGCTCTGAATCGTCAGCTGCCGCCAGTGTAGACGTCGACCATCAGCCGGGCCCACCGAGTCTTTAACAGATGTGTTACTAACCCACGAGCCGAGCGGATAGACACTCAGACTGGACCTCGATATGATTCCCAGATTTCATTCCAATCTCTGCCCTAGATTTTCCATAGTGAGTACTGACTTCGCAAGAAACCACAGTCCGAGCGATGTAAGTCGTCCTCACGACGTGAACTGTAATCACCTCCTAGATTTGAGTTGTGCCATGCCAATTATTTTTATCGCAATGATCACGTCAAGTCTTATTTGTACAACGTTCATTTCGTCTTGCAGCTTAGGTTCGTTCCTAGAACGGGATGCGGCCTCTGGCAGACTAGGTTAAGGTACGTTGCATCGTCCTTGTGCACCATTTCCCGATAAATTTTTGACTTTACGTTCAGATAGTTGGCTTATCCAGTCCGTTTGTAACGTTTGAACTAAGCCACGCTGCCGCAGCGCCATCTTCTGTGACCGAGCTATATAGCGCCTGGCAGGATCTTGATCATGACACGTATGGACAGCAATGTCCGAATCCGGTAAATACTTGCTTGTACCAGTCAGACTAAGTATATCACTGTCTTCTGCATTCCCCGGGTGGCACCACATCCGCGAAGTGTTCAACGTAACTTGAACTGTTATCTAAAGTCCGGTTTCGCTCCTGGGAATAATGTGCGGGTAGGTGACAGTTTCATGATGACATGAAAATTCTGACTATACCGTTTTTATTTGCTGCTCTATGCGACTTTACTCGGAAAGGCGGCCCCTTTCATATCGTTGTTTTTGGAAAATCTACGGCAAGAAAGACCTCGAGCACCACTTGCATCCATCCCGCACCGTAACGTCGGTGCTTGTTTCTCTATTTGCTCACTCTAAGAAAGCATCGTGGACAGTAAGGGATTAGTTCTGAAGTGAAACATATTGGTCGCCCTCCCCGGCATTCTGCTCTATCACCTGCAGGCCCCTACGTCCGATTGCATCAACAGGGCCCACATTACTCCTACCACGTTTCACGCATGCGCTAGACTGTCACTCACCTTTCAGTAATAGTTTGCACTGGTATGCAGGGCAGTGCCTGTGGAGATCCTTTTGGTGACGTAATGCAAGGAAGGAGGTACGCCCTCTGGTCCCTCCGCGGAAACTATTTCCCCATTTGAATCATTCCTTTGTTTACGCTTCCAGTCAAGTTGGTGACACTCAGAAAACCTCGTCTGGTGAAGGATGCGACTAAATCGCATTGCAGTATCTGATGTTCACTTGTCAGATTTAGAGTTTCCGAATCGGACGGCCAATCATCGTCACCGCCGCATGTAACGTGTTGAAACTAAACACTAGGATCAGACTGAAATACAAGTTAGCGCATCATGCATGTGCGCAGGCGGGAAGTAAAGTAAGAGTACCCTCAGTCCCAGATAATGGACTGAGGTAAGAGAGCTTACTTAGTATCTACGATCGGAGAGTCGAAAAACCAGACTTTCTGGCGTTTGCGCAACGGAATTCAGACACGCTCAGGCTATGTTCGGCCAAAATTGACATGTAGTATGTCTTGTCTCCCCTTCTGGTCTGACCTCACCTGATGAGGAGCCCTTCCAACGTGCAGAAAGCCCCTTTTAGCTTTTTTTTCACTGGTGAACGCAGTACACACTAGTGGTATCATCTGAAATAGTTGTGTGGACATTCTACCACTCATGACGGCATCCAATCCAGGTGCCAATTAAAGTTTACAGGCCGGTGTATGTTGCTTTCCTATAGCTTCGTTTCATAAGTTACTAATAACACGGACGTTTCAACGATACATTTCTGAATACTCTTTTGGAATAGCAAAATCGATCTTGGGCTATTTAACTGGCTCGAAATGAGCAAACAATCAGACCATGTTGCCCCAGGCCTTAGATAGTGGCCGCCGTATCAGCAGGCATATCATGACACTGTTTTTGTTTACGAAGTCTGACGTCTTGACCACTCTGTTACCTGTCGTGAGTGTCGCTTAAATTCGTCGCACGTTCTTTGACACGACCCTGTGCATTAGACTTTGTTTGCCTTGGCAAATGTTCCCCATCCTCATCCCCATGCAACCCGCATTCTGGAAATCATAATTTGGATATGGATCCACCTCCTAAAATTTGACATATCTAATCAGATTCAGGATCCAGAAGAAGACAAAAGAAACAAACCTGATCGCCCTCTACCCTCTGGTCGCATAACCGCCCAGAACGCAGCGGACGTGCGTTGGCTGCTAGTTCCCGTCTGTCTGATGTTTTCCGCAATGTATGGCGGTCAGACTCTCGCGTCTAGCGCTTGTTTTGAAGCCCTGAGTATCTGGTATAATGAGTTTGGAGGCCACAAATTTGCGCTTTCAAAAAATATATTAACAGCCGTCGGATATACATGCCTGGAAGCAGGCGCAACGATCGTTGCAGGTACGTGGGCTGCTCCGCCTACAGCAAGTTTTGCCTTTGACATCTTGATAACCAGGGTCCAGTCCGTGCCTCGATAGTATCAGCGCGCGCGCAGTTGCTTTTAGCTGTGCAGTATTTGCAACGACGCTTCATGCACAAGATTTCAAAGATGAGGAAGGGGATCGCTTTATAGGAAGACGCACTCTCGTCACCCTGTTCCCTACCTTTGCACGTATTTCTATGTTGATCGGCGTCCCTCTTTGGTCTTTCTTCCTCAGCAGACTATGGCATGTGGATTCGATCTGTTCTATTGCCTTTATAGCGTATGGAACAGTTGTAGGGGGAAGGTTCATGGTCTATAGGACCGCGAGCGCCGATAAACAATCCTGCAAATTATACAGTGTCAGTGATCTCAAAGAGTTGGAAGTTTCTCCTTGCTAATTCATGATTTTAGCTCTGGTTTACCATTGCGCACTTACTCCCTGCCTATTGGCGATTTTTCTATAGCACTTGAAGCTTTGAAGCTCGAAGTATGTATATGTGAAGTACAAAACAATGTAATACAACAGGAGGTAAAGTCAATCCTGATACACGTAGTCAACCGTACGGAAAAGAGTAGTTTGGTAGGATACATTTGATCGCAGTACGTGAAATGACACGTCAACGATGTCTCGACGCAAGTGAAAGAACACGGGTATGGAAACATGGGATTTGGAAATTTAGAGTCTGGAAATCTGAGGTGTTGATCGGGAGAACGGGACATAGTGTTTGATATCATGCTCTGGTGTCATGCCAAGAGGTACCGAAGAGCTTTCCTGAGCGCACCAACGTGCCGAGCGACCATCGCACGCATTTTTCTATCAGTGGGGCGATAAAAGAGAGGTAAAGCAGTCGAAATCACCTGCATGTTCGTACGGGTGCTCCAAACGGCGGCTGAGAAATCGATGTGCGGACCTGTTGAAGTTGTGATCAGTGCATCAGAGTTGTGAATTACTGCAAATCTACCAAGGAGAGTGATTGCAAAACAGGGAAATCAAAATGCAGGCTTGGCCTTCGCGAAAGATTCGGTTGAACGTATATAATGCACATATCATGCCCTGCACGCTACTTCATCTAATCTTTGATATGTTCATGGACGACTGCGAAAATATAGAGCCAACGCCAGACGACAACAAGTTGGCTATGGCATGGTCAGTGGTTATGTCCGGCTTCTTCACTGACGGGACAACACGAGCTTCCAAATTCTGTCAAGTCCTGCAGGAGCATTGACATAAGGGCCAAGCACCGCCTACGTCACTGACGGTGACATACAATACAAAGGTTTCCATTAAGCAATCACCGAAGTTAAGAACGAGTTAGGGTCTACGGCGGCAGAACTTCACATACAAGCCGTTTTATTCTCAGCCAGTGAACGAACTGGTGCGATTTTTTTTGTATGCCTTCAAATTTCGAAGGTTTCCCCTGGGGAAGATCTTCACGAAGTTGCTGTATCCTATACAGAATGTGGAAGGCAATGGTTGCAAATGACTATGGGAGCCATCTGGGAGGCAGCCGTCAGCTCAGCCACCGTGTCAAAGTGATATCTCACAAGCAGGTGCTTATACTTTAATAATAATACTTAGGAGGACTATCGAAAACCTCGAGCATTCCATGATGGAATGCTCGAGGTTTTCGATTTTCCATTCACAGGTGATAATGGTTTCTTTTCGAGGCCGTGGATATTACACTCGAGGGTGTTTTTGATAGGCAGGTCGACATCAGTCAGATCACCAGCATCTGACCATATGTACTGAACTCACCTTCCATAGCTGGAGAGTGTCTGCAGCCACGCCGCGAAATGCAGGCTTCTTTTCCTTGATCAAATCTTTCAGGTTATCAACAACCTTCAGGCTTCGTCACTACAATCTCGACTGGGAATATATATTGTTGGGTTAGTCGCCCAAGACTAAGCAGTTCTTTTGCATCGTCTTCAACGACTAACCTAACAACATATTCCCAAGTTGAATTTGGACCCCATTGGAAACAAAAGTAGGCCTTTGTATATACACGCGACGTCTAAGAGAAGATGAGAGGAAGAGGAAGCAATATTCGTTAGTTCGGATCTGTGGGAGGAGTAGTCGTTATTGAGAGACACCTGAGGAAAAGAATGGGCGTGGAGAAGGAGAGGAGGGTGCGGCGCCGA